AAGGGTGTCTCATTGTCGAACGTCAGTGAGGTGACATTCAAAAAGGTTGGACGTGTTGAGGAAAAGAAAAGTTGATAGAATAAGAAGGGCTTTGGTGGGGCACTTAGTCTTCCACAGACCCAAAGACTCACACAGAGACCCATAGACTCGCACAGAGACCCACAGATGAGAAGGGCTATGGAGATGCCACCAGTGCAGGGCAGGAGCAGAGAGAGGGAGGCAGAAGTTGAGAGATGAGAGGATGCAGTGGAGCGAGATGTGAGTCGAGTCAATGTGACTCGAGCAGAGGCACAGAATAGGAGGCAAAATCCGAGCGGTCGACGACTGCTTGCCGCCACGTGACTTGTGGTTTGGAAGGAGGGGAGTACTTCGCGTCTTGCTCGTGCTCCGGACGTGGCGAGGGTTTAACAACTCGGGAACCTGCGTGGCACCGAGAGGGCCGTGCTGGGGAGGGCCCTGGCCCGCTGCTGGTGGTGAGTGAGGAGGGGCTCCTGGAGTCGGCTGCACGGGCACCGTACCCGTGACGCCCACAGTGGGGCCGTTTGACGTCTCCCGTGGTCGCATCACTTTATTGGGCGGCAGCGTTGGCCCCGTCGCTGTGTAGATGCGTGATGTGAAGTGGAATCTGCCCGTGTGCGATTCCATAGATCACTGCGCGGTGTTCACTGTGCATGGTGTTGTGGAGTTGGGGTGATCACTGCGCCGTGGTGGAGTTCGGCGTGATTTGGAGGCCATGCTATGATTTATGATTGGTATTTGCGGTGGTGGAGGGCTTCCACGAAACATGTTTGGTCAGATCGTGGCATGGCCTAACCCAAAGATCAGTCGTGAGAGTTGAGTGCAATGTCGGCTTACGATGCACGATGATGTTGATGCGTAGTGGCTAAAGCCACTGTGACATTGGCATTGAGTGTGTCACTGTGCTATGTATGATGTTGCTCCGTGTGTGACGTTTACATGTGACTGTGTGCGTGTTTTCTGGAAGGCGCGTCGGCTGCTTGATAACTTCTCTTGATGATTGCTCAAGGAGAACAAAACCCTCGTCAAACATTAACCACAGAGTTCACCATTACCGCGAAACAAATTACACGAGGCGCCTCTCACCGGAACGCTTCAATAAATACCTGCACATGTTACAGCCTTGTGTCAATCTAGCGCTCGATACGGAGTTCCCCACACCACAACACTTCGTCGACCATACTTCACCACGCCGGTCAGTGTGGGTTGGCGAAGACGGGGACCACATAAGTATCGTACAACAGCAAATGCATTGTTGCAGCACAGCTCTTGTTCTGCCTGGTAACGTGCGGCTCCCCATACGCAGCAGCCTGCGCCACGTGCTGTGCGCATGCACGGCGCTCACTCGTGCGAGCGCCTTGTCCAGGCTCCCCCCCCCCCCCCCCTGCTTGGCTCGGGAGATGTGACGGAGGCCTGGGTGCTTACCGGGTGATTTGGTCGAAAGCAAATAAAGTAGACTCTGCCAAGGAGGGGGAGGGGTAGCCGAATCGCAGCGCAAACACCGCAGCGGAGCGCCAGCGGCAGGCATTGCCGGTGGAGAAATCAAATGTTAAAGACTTTAAACGGTGAAGCGTTTTATACGGGGCCAAAACATTGGTGTTGTCGTTTTGCCGCGGCCCCTCGAGCCTTCTTGGTTCGTCTCGCGCAGTCCCCGCGAGTGGTGTAGCGCCAGTGCGTGGGCCCTGCCTGGTGCGAGGATTTAAATGCACTTGCACCGCCTGCACACTCTACAGCGACGTCACGATGGGTCTCGATGTGAGTCCGGGGGTGTTTGCGAGTCTGAGTCTCTCATGTGAGAATAGATCCCTGGCGGGTCGTCTGTGATGTATGTCGAGGAGCTGAATGGGCCCCCCCCCCCCCGCCGGGTCAGCTTTCACCCCCTCCCCCCAGAGAGGCCCAGGCACCACAGCCTAACGCCGGGACCCCTCTGCCTCATGGTCCTCGCTGCAATTGCACCGCCTGCACACTCCAAAGCTACACCGCTTGATTCCCTCTCGTGCGTAACTGCGAGGCGGATAGCGCTGTGGCCGCGTGCCTTGTGGCACGGCGGTTCTTGAAGCTGACTAACCCAGCCTTCGTGCCATGTGACCCCCAGGGACGCTGCTGACCCCGCGACCTCGAGTGACCCCAGTGCTGACCTCTTCACTCGCGCGGCTGTCCAGTTGCTGTCAGGGTGAGCGCCCCCAACCCCCCCCCCCCCCCCCCAGGGCAGTTATTGTACGTCACGGAGCATGTTTGAGCTTTTTCATGAATGTAAACTTATTTATGTGTGTGTGTATATAAGTTAATATACACTTAACACCGTAATTCATTGATGGGTGTTAACTCTGCTGAATGAAAAGTAGTTGGAACAAACATTTCCCACTCGGTATTCTTCGGAGTGAGCGCCACTCTGTGAGGAGGTCAACAGTGGTTGTGTCCTGTTGATGTACGTGTACCCGCCATAGGAATGTGGAATTTCCACCACTGGTTCTGCAATAATGTAAACAGAAATTGAGAGCACCAAATTGAGAGCCTTGATGCTGATTTTGATGAAACAGCAGCAAATCACTTATGCATTTTGTGTTGTTCTTGCGAGGGGAACAATGTGCCTCCTCGCCTTGAGTGGGCGGTGCTGCCAGAGCGCAAGGCGCTCGTCCCGGCTCCCGGGCCGACGGTAACGGCGGCGGTCGCATCGTGTCGCCCGCAGGCCCCCTGCCGGCGCCGCCGCGGCATCTGGCCGATGGCGCGCCGCGCTCCGTGTCACAGCTGACGCTCGACTCGCTGGCGCTCAGCCCGGGTCGGTAACCGCGCTGTCGCGGGCGGCAGGAAGGGCGGGAACGAGGAAAACAAACGCGACCTCCCTGGACCTCGGCCAGGGCACGCCCTCGGCGCCTTCCGCCGAAATGATTAAACACGTGGGAAGGATTGCTTCGGCCGTTCCGCGATCCCGCAAAACCAAGATATCTAGCGGACGTCCAGATTATTTCCTTTCATAGCGAGATGCGATGGAATTCATATTTGCAGAATGGCGGTGAGATGGTTGTCCCCGACTCTGGACGGTCAGCGCGACATCCTCGCTGGAGAGAGGCGGCGGCGTGCTGGCCGTGCCTTGGGGCAGGGATGCTTCTTCGCACGCGAGACTTTATTTTTTTTCTAACGGGGCCTCGCCTCGAGGCAGGACGAGTTTAGTTGCGCGCGTGCGTGGGTGCGTGCGTGGATTTGTGCGCGTGTCCAGAGCCACCTAGAATGGGGCGGGGGGGGCTGTAGGATCTGGGGCAATTTTCCCTGGGCCTCGCACAAAGGCGGGACCCAGAGCAAGGCCCATTTCCTTGTTGCTCTCGGAACCGCATGCAGCATTCTACTCTGGGCTCCCAGGGACCTCCGGGTGGCCCTGTATTGGTGGGTTCACCCCGATTCCCATAGTGTCCGTAAGTTTGCATTGCCTCGGAGCCGCAGTAGCTCGGTCCAACAGCAATAACCTGACCCAAGTGTTAAAGCAACAACGGTTGTTTGAAAAAAAACTTCCTGCATTTAAGACGCAGGCCACGCGGCTCTAGTGACGGGACCTCTGATGGCAATAATTATTATCAGGCCATGGGCAATCCACTGCTGGACGAAAGCCTCCTCAAGTTGTATTGGTCGTGGAGGTTGTGTAACCTTGCTGCACCACGGTGGTCAGTCCGGGTTAGTGACGGGGGGGGGGGGGCATGGGCGAGTCCAGCACTTTCCACCGATGTTATCCGTCGAGCAGATTTCGCTCCAGTCGTCAGGTTCGTAGCGCAGGGCGCTAAACCGCGATGCCATCGTTCCACTCCACCTCTGACGTTGAGAGGTGGTTGGAGAAGGAGGTGCTTTAGTAGACTTGGCACCGTGTGTGGCCGCCTTAAGCGGAGCTCTCTCCATGTGTGCCAGTCTCATGGCTCCTCCTCGCCCGCCCCAGCGTGAGCGTGAACTTTCACGATCCCGGCCAGCAATTTGATTAGAGAATAGCTATTTGTATCTCCTGGTTTGTATTGTTTCTGTCCAGTTTTCAAAGTGTTTATCTGCTACATTCCCTTAAGCGTGTAATATTAACGTATTGTTTGCTTATACGTTTTAATAAATTGTAAATTCCCGCGCACTATTCAATGAACAGAATTTTTAAAGATTTTTAGTCTGCATCATCGCATGGCTACGTAGCTCATTCTCCGCCGCTGCGAAACGAAGCCGTCCCGTGTGACTCGGTGAATAAAACGCGCAGCAGGAACCACAGCATCAGTAAGAGCGAGAACGCCTCACCTCGTCGGCTTGATGAGGTCTTTATTCATAAAGAGAGTCTGGAGTAGGGTTTGCAGCCACTCTGCGGAAGTCGCGGGGGTGTGCGATTTAGCAACCGGTTTCCAGTGGTTTCTGGGTAGATTACAGATTGGGTCCGTGGAGTTTGCGCCCCTGGCTGCTGCGTCACGGGTAAGAGGAGTTCCACGGTGCAATAATTCGACTGGTGCCACGCAGCGAACGGCAAGTGACCTGGTGCCGGGCGAGACGGGGGTTTTGGCGCTATGATCGTTTCATCGTTGGTATAATTCGGCGTTTATGTTGCCGCGTTAAGGGAGACAGGAGGACTCAAATACCAGGATTTTTGTCCGAAATGTTAACATTCCTGATTTTCAGAGAATTTGGAGGCAACTAAATTTTGTTTAGATTGTATTCATTGCCTCAATTTAATAAATTGCCGAAAATAATAATTCAGGGTGGTGAACCATTGGTCAATGAAGGTGACATTTAAAAAACCGGCTGCTTCCTCCGATTCCAACCACCATGCTTGCAAAACAACAAAGCTGAACTACGGCCCCTACTTGGGCCATAGGTCATATATATGGATAACTTTTTAATATATATGCTTCAAACTTCTAGAGTAGAGTCCCTTCTAGATTTAAAGCTTTCGTGACTGCTAGGATCCATACTCTTTGGTTCTATTGGGTAAAGTCCCTTCACCTGATGAAGGCCGCTTGTGTTGCGGCCGAAACGTCGTGATTTTTTGTTATTTTATTTTCACCTACGTGACTTTACCCAATAGAACCAAAGAGTAAGTAGAGTCACTGCCTACGTTAATTGGCGTTTGCGTTCTGAGCTCCAAACAAAACTCGAGGATGTCGGCGAGATCGGATCGGTGCAAACGACGCGAGCGGCGAGTTCACGGCACGACGAACTCGCAGGCGTACCCCGCCAGGCGGTAACACGGGTCGTCGAACCACCTCCCGTCCAGCATCACCGACAGCGCCACGCAGTTCTCGCGCCGCCCGCCGTCCGGCTGGCCCGAGATGGCGTCCTCCCAGATCGTGAAGTTCACCGCCACGCCCGACTGGTCCCGGAAGGCGCCCTCGGAGGCCACGTCGCTCAGGCCCACCCACACGTTGGCGATGGGGCCCAGGGCCCGGCGGGCGAGGCGCACGACGGCGGCGTTCTCGTCGGCGTCGCGCGGCACGGCGAGCGAGCCGCCGAGATGCACGCACGCCTCGCCCGCCTCGTAGAAGGTCTTCTCCAGCTCGCCCGGCTCCTCCTCCACCAGCAGGCACTTGCGGCCCACCTTCTCGCCGCGCAGACACACTGCGCCGCCGCGACGCGGGGGGTGAGCGGGCGCACGCACGCTGCGTTTCCGCCGCACGTCGGGGCCGTGCCAAGGCCGTGCTTGGCCACGAGGCGCCTGGTTGCTTTCCACCCGGAACCCGAGCCGTGCCGCCGATGTCGCACGCGATGAAAGTATCGCGAGTCCCATCCCTGGCCCCGCTTGGTTGATCCCGAGCGAGATTTGTATTTCTTGCGAGATCAGCTGATCACGGATTGGGTCCGGTTCAGCTCGGCGAATAGCCGGTGGCAAGCCACCTGCTCGCGATGCTCCCGCGCCGGCTCGGTTCTGATGTGCCAATGGAAAAGGGGGTAACGCTCACTGCGGGCCAAGGTGAGGGGGGCATGGTGGGGGGGGGCAATGGCTGACCGACCGCTCCACTCGCACCCCACGGAGTAGGCACGTCGTGGAGCCCTGTCTCGGGTTGTGTTTTCGGAGCGCCCGGTTTTGTAGAGGTAGTCACAGACCTCTTAAGCCGGGACTTGAATTACCCTTCCAGATGTGTGGTCTGCGTCTTTGCATGAGACATGAGACAAAGTTCCCATCTGCAACTCTCACAAACCAGTACATATCACCCTACATCAGTAGAGTGAATGGCAGAAGCAGAGAACGCAGAACTAGTTTCGAGATCCTTTCAGTTCTCCACCACACACTAGGAACACTGAATTATGTTCTCATGTGTTCAACTAAGCATGTATGTTGTCCTTCCCCCGCACCTCCGATTATGTACAAACTAAACACAAAACTATACTTTGGTTCTTTCATTAAAGTCACATAGATCACGACGTGTCGATAGCAACACAAGCCATCGTCTTCACGTGGTGGGTACACCCAAGGGTAAGTGGGTGGGACTAGGGATGAAATTTGTATAACCCTTGGTTGCAGTAGCTCTCTCGCTACATTTCTTCCTCAGCAGTCTGCCTGCTGTATTGTTTAACCTGAAGATGATGGCTTGTTGCTATCGAAACGTCGTGATTTATTCGTTATTTTTTTCTACCTACGTGACTTTACCGAAATAACCAAAAAGTATGAATTCCTGCAGTCACGAAAGCTTCAAATCAAGATTAAACACAACTGTTTGTACATTGCCGAATTCGGTGGAACCGACTTGTTTAATTCTGAGAGCTGAAGTTTTTTTGAAGGGGCCTGGCTGGAATGATGCCTGGGCTACAGCTGAGTTGTGCGAGCCACAGCCCAACTGCAGCAAATCCGTTTGAAATTCCTACTGGTGGTGTGGCTTCTCACTTCACCCCTGGCTGTGACCTCCCTTGACCCCTGGCCTCTGCCTATGACCTCTTTTGATCCCTGGCCGCTGGCTGTGAACTATCTTGACCCCTGGCCTCTGGCTGTGAACTCTCTTGACCCCTGGCCTCTGGCTGTGACCTCCCTTTACCTCTGGCTGTGAACTATCTTGACCCCTGGCCTCTGGCTGTGACCTCGCAAAGGGCTTTTGCTCCTACCGGTCTGCAGGGCCTGCTGCTCCTTCAGCATCTTCAGCTCGAGCCAGATGTCCTCGATCTCCTTCCGGAGCTCCTCCACCGTCTCGTCTGGGGAAGCCGACCGAGACGTGAGACTCCCCCCCCACCCCCTCACCACGAATCACGCCGAGGATCACCGACAAAATCCACGCGGCCACCGTTAGACATGTCGATCGACTTCACCGGCCGCTTGTCTCAGCTCTGCCCCGTGTCCCTGTGCGATGCAACAACGGCCACCGAATATGCACGCACGGCGGCCAGTGGATGCATGGCACCGAGATCTGGCATGTCTTGTCGTGTCGCCCTTGTCCCGCTGCCAATTTACCATATCCGCTATCAGTGGAGGAACGTTAACCATATATGCATGCGTGACAGCCAGCAGATGCATGGCGCAGCGCTGCGGAATACACGTCCGCCTGCCGTCCGTGTGCGCCAAGTCCCTCTGCCGCGTTACCGTGCAAGCGAGCGGTGGAGCCGAACGGTTGCATGCTGGACGGGGGCGCAGCGGCCACCGCCAGCAAGAGAAAACGCAGCAGCAGCAGCAGGGCGGTCGCCATCGTCCCAGCGAGGCCGCGGACTGTGCGTGGCCCAGACCCTCTCCCCGAGCGCACGCCTCGACGTCTCCCAGCGTAGGGGGAGGGAGGCGGGACCCGATGAGGCCGGCGCTGGGGCAGGTGGGGGAACGCGAGGCAGATGGGGAGTGCTAGCAGAGGGTGGGGGGGCACACACGAAGCCCTACCCCCCCCCACCCCGTGATTTCCAGCTTATCCCAAAACTCGACTCGTTACATAAATATCTTCAAACGGCAATAAGCGATTTTTAGAGTTCGTGAATTAGAATGTGTGCACACAACGTGGCAAACTTTCTCTTGCTGTGTAAAAAAAATTAATTTACATTTTTAACATGTAATATTCATGGGCTATATTTCTTGAAATAACACCAACCCCGCCATCCAACATCCGTAAGTGAATCTTACATTACAAAGTGGATTTCTTGAAATTGTCCAAAGTGGAATTTAAGTGAAAAATAAACCCCTTGGGCCGGCGATGCCACTCCTGCCAGGTCAGGCGTCTCAGAAACGCGTTTCGTAATGGGAGGTTTGCAGAAGATTGAACTTGGCACAAATAACCGGGCTTCGTGTCGAGGCGGAATTCAAGTTTCTCGATCTGTGAACGATTAGCTGCTGGGCCAAGCCACGTGCGCAGTGACGGCCCCGCACTCCGGTTCGAGTAGTTGGGTGTGGCCGTCTGGAGCTGGTTGGTTAGGGGGGGTGGAGGGGATGGGGGGAGGCGAGCGTCCAGTGGGGGCCGGAGTGAAGGGGAACCCGGGTCACGGCCTCGGACGACACCGCCACCCGCGCCGCAAGCGGGTAGATGGCATCGCTGTTTTGGAAACTTTCTCCACGCTTGCTCCCAAGCGCGCGTTGTTAGACACGTGACAGAGACGTATTCCGAGGGCGTTTCAGGTGAACATCTGTGGAGGGGAAGGAGGCAGGGTGGCGAGCGTGTGGGTCTCCATAACTCAACAGCACCGCTGAGATTAAACACCGATTTTTTTTAAACAAATGGTTTTAGAAACGGCCACTTCCTTTCCAGCGACTTGGCAGCAGGGTCTGCCTGCTCATCGCCCCGCTCGCTCCCTCAACCTCCGCTTTGCAGACACCGCCAACTGCATGGCCAAACGTCGCGCCACCGAGAAATCCACCACGCACTCGGCGGACGTACAAAACGAGACGTTTATTGCGTGGCAAAAAAATATTCAAACATGTTGTGTGGGAGAGCTCCGCGTGGCCCCGTGTCATCCGAGGAAGCCGACTTTCTCCCTCTTGGTGCCTTGCGACTCCTCGTGCTGCAGGACGGCGTCCAGGGCCTTGTGCAGCGACACGCCCACTCGCTTGCCGGTCTGGACGCGAAGATGGCAACGACAAATCAAGGGGTTAAACCGTCGCTCGTCCAACAGAATTTAACATTACTCAGCGACGACTCCTGCCTGGAATACAAAAATGACCTGGTGGCAGTGGTACGCAAGCACAAATAACAAATGCTCAACACGTTCGTCACGTTCGTCACGTTCGTCAAAAACACCGTGTGCCCTTAAAAGAAAAAAAGGTCACGTTTTGGGCAATGGCCCTTCTTCATAGCACAGCGAGCCCAGAGCGATGGAGTCAGAGTTGGCGACTGCACTACACACAGTATCCACCATATCCGCAGTGGGGTGCTAATAAATTCGAATTTCCAGAATGTGTGAACGATGAACGCAGTAGAGGTCGTGAAGCGGTTGGGAGCCAATCACGATGACGTCTCCAGACCCTCTCTACTGCTCGAGGAGCAATGCGTCTCACCGTCTCTGCACGACGTCTTGGAATGAGGTCACAGACGTTACCCAAACCTAACCTGCTGCTGCAACGGTTCAACACCCTAGACACCCTTACAATCTAAATGTTCCATCTTAAGGGATTATTTAGGTAAAGTATTGCATTCTAGATTTAAAGCTTTCGTGACTGCTAGGATCCATACTCTTTGGTTCTATTGGGTAAAGTCACGTAGGTAAAAAATAAAATAACAAAAATCACGACGTTTCGGCCACATCAGGTGAAGGGACGAGACTGTCTGGAGGACAGCGCTGGAGTGCTGTTCTCCAGACAGTCTCGTCCCTTCACCTGATGAAGGCCGCTTGTGTTGTGGCCGAAACGTCGTGATTTTTGTTATTTTATTTTTTACCTACGTGACTTTACCCAATAGAACCAAAGAGTAAAGTATTGCAATTAATAAACCCCCCACCCCAAAAGCATGTAGATGCATTGCCACTATCCACGGTCACAATTCAAGAATCGCCTCTCGTCTGTTCCCGTTTCTCTCGTGCAATGCGTCCAATCGTCTTCTTGCCAAGCTGGATCGGTGCGTCCTGGCAGGCCGCCCGTTCACCACCACCACTTGTTTATAGGAACTGCCTTCGCTCTCTGGTTGTCTTGGCAATGCGTGAACCATCAAAAGCCAGGAGCGGTTCAACTCAACCCCACTGCTCACGAACGGTGGCAATCTCGTCTGTGTGCATGCGTGTGCTGCGTGCGTGTGCTGCGTGCGAGGGCTGCTATAACTTTCACGCCCACTAGAGGGCCCTACACTCACTAGGTTTGGGCTAACTACAGGAGGCCCACGCAGAACCGCTGCACAGCAACGCTGGAAGGAAGCATTGACTCAGGAAATTGAAATAGATTATTGCGCTCAGGATTCACGTGTAAAATCGAGGGGGTTCTATTTGATTATTTACGATTTACGCAAAGTATAAGCGAATGTGCATTCAATGAGACAAGACGAGACGGGCGAGATGCACAATAGAAATGAGAAAGAACATCAGTTACGGACAACGCAGGTGAGACAAATGACAGACAACACAAACGAGACAGACCATTTTATACTGTTTCGGCCAATGGATCCAACAAAACTGTAAACAACGAAACGGAACAAGAATCTGTTATATCAAAACTGAATGTTAAATCCACTCACGAACCACAATTGTGGCGATTCATCGAATCGCAATGGGTACGGGGGGGGGGAAGGTGAACTGTGATGAGCCAACCGTGGAGCGACCACCTACAGAGGCGTTGGTCAAGGGAGGTGAAAAGGTGTGGGAAGGGGGCGGCACCTCGATCATGTGACACACGCTGTCGGGGTGGAGGCTGCCGGGCCCGGCCTTGCGCAGGCCGGTGATTGCGCCCGCCGCCGTCACGGACACCATGAGGCTGGCGCGGCAGCAGCAGGTCTCCTCCAGCGACGCGTCCACCACATGCCGCTGCCCGATCTGGAGGGCACGGGCGGCGAACCGCAGCACAGGTGAGTGGCGAGCCCTGGTGTAGCGAGTCGGGGTGAGCCGTGCGCACGGGGAAACGAGCGAGCGAGTGAACCCAGTGGCGGCCTGTCCGTTCATTAGAAAAATAACGCTGATCGACGTACCCCGGCTGTACGGATCTAAGTGTCGGGCCATGACTGCGTTTGGCCAGGTTTTGAGTATTTCTGCTCAAGTTTTCGCCAGGTGCTACCGTGGCAATCGTCACACATGACTGATCCCTCAACCGTCTACTAATCCAACCCGACTAGTTTTAAGATCTTCCATACACTCACCCCTGCCTACCTCTCCCCTCATCTCACTCTATATCCCCTCGAAGCGTTCTCTTCACTCCAGCAAACCAACACCATCTGTCGAAGTCCTCAGCCTTCACTCAGTGAGAGGTCGATCATTTCTCCTCAGCTGCCCCCATTATCTAGAACTACCTTCCCCCAGCCGTGCTGTCGACTCCCTGCCCCTGTTCAATGCAAGGTCCCAGTGGGAGCGCCGCTGGGTACATCCACGTTGTGCCGCTGTTGTGGTTGTGGCGGCCACATCGCCACCGCTCACCTTGCTGAGCGTGACAATGCACGGCACGCGCGCCACCTCCAGGCGCACGCAGTCGTAGGGGTCGTCGGACAGCTCGATTTCCCGCACGCCCTCTTCGTCCTCACTCACGTGCACCGTCGGGATCCTGCGCGCAACGCCACCCAACGCGACCATTGCAGCGACGGTCAAACGGCATGGCGGAACGCGTTCTACGTCGGGGGGGGAACCTCCGGCCGGCGGCTTAATGCCATGTGGCCTACGGCCACGCGAGTCCTGCAACTTTACAAGGTCCCGCAAACAGCGATACTTATCCATCACGATTAGCATCTTGGCTGCACTAATCGGGTACTAGAGTGGGAATATTTCCAACCTGGCAGCAACATTGTTTATAATTTGCTCGTCGCTCTCAGTTACTTCCCTATCACTTGAGAGGGCCTCTGACAGTGACAGAAGTGTCCGGGCCGTGTTTGCGAGTTAACGCCGTGGTTAACCGCCAAAAGCGTTTGAAAGTCGGCGTCCGGCCCTCCGCAAGGGAAGGATCCGCACTCGACGAGGGCTGCTCGTGCCGCAAAGCTGGTGATGCGACGCTCGCGAGCCGTCGCGCCGGAGCCACGCCGGCCGCGGTGAACGTCAATGCGAAGGCCGAGCGTTACCGCTACCTGGTGTTGAAGAGAGCGGCCTTGACGGCGATGGAGGCGGCGTCGAACACGTTTCCTCCGTACTCCAGCAGCTGCACGGGAGATAACAAACAATTGACGACAAGGCCAGACACACCCTGTACCGCGCCTCCGAAATAGTCGCTGCTCGGTGTGACGACAAACACACACGCGGTGCTCAAGGCCGATTCAACTGTCGCTCGCTGCACGCTTGCCGACCCGACCCAACACAAATGCTTTGGCTGCTGACCTTTCAACCCTTTGACTGTACGCCGAGTTTCAAATCCGATTGAACGTGGGCAAACGTTGACGCAAATGCTTTCTTACCAGCACGTCCACGTAGAGCACCCAGCACTGCTGGCGCGGGAGGATGCAGAGCGAGCGCAGGTCGAGACAGCCGGCGTGCGCAAACGAGCGCTGCAGCGCGCTCGAGATCTCCAGGCTCAGGTCCTCGCCGCCCCGGCCCTCAAACTCCGGGGTGGCGTTCGCGGAGCTGGTGGTGCAGTAAAACACGGTGCGAAGCGTTGATTTGTTGTTGATAAAGCGCCCTTCACGCCGGGGAGTCTTTAAGTGCCTTGCACGTGATATGCGATTTGCATCTCATCTAAGATATTGAATGGGCACCCCCAGTGGCAGCTGTCCCTGTGCAGCACAAGACAGCTCAGCAACTGGTCGTTCATCTGCCGGTCGTGGGCAATGATTGACGTTTGTAATCCCAATTGAGTAATTTGGAGCGCTGCATAATCCCGATCTCTTTCAGGATATCATTATCAGTAGCAACAGTGCTTCACACTTGGCTGGATGAAGACCTCCCCAAGCCACGGCTTTGTTGTACGGTGGAAGAGAGGTGTAAGGAAGCGCGTCAATAGCAGGAGCTGCGAATGACGCGCTTCCTTACGCCTCTGTCGGCTCGGCCTCTCCTCTCACCAGTCGACGAAGAACTCCAGGTATCCCTCATCAGGGCAGTCCAGACGCGGCGAGCCCAGCTCAGCCTTCACTCCCACCAATACGTCCGTCTGACCCTGCAGAGTAAAGATCAAGATGTCCTTATGGCCAAATGCTACGGCATCACCAATGCTGTTTACCCTTCCGCCAGATCCCACAGCTACTGCACAGTAACCACGTGACCTCCAAGATCTGCGTCTTCCCCTTGGTCGTCAGATTCGTGGAGACCACTCCAATGCCCGTCTCACCCATCCGGCACACGTCCCACTCAGAACAGCCGTGTGTGCCTAAATGTACCTACAACACTGCCATGTTCTCTCCATGACTCGTCAGCACTGTCTTAACCACGCAGTGTAAAGGGACACATTCGCACCTTTATGAAACTGTCCACTCTGGCTACGGTCTAGGAGGTTCGTGTGGATGCTGTATCTAAGTAACCACCGCCACCGGTGAGAGAGTCAATGGACTCACCCACAGTGGCGTAGCGCTGTTGGCATGGGCCCTCGTGTAAGGCATTAAATGGGGACCCACCGCTGTCTGATTCTCACCTCCCCTCTCAATATCCTGGCACCTCGACCCCTCTGGGCCCAGGTGCAGATGCCGTGTCTGCACACTCAATGGCGACGCCAATGTTACGATTCGCAGTTTGCAATTTAAATCACAAATAATGTTTACATTTAGTTTCGACCTTTTGGTATGCATTGCTTTTAGTTTTTGTTGTCTCATTCGTACAATAGTGGTGGGTTGGTGTAGGCCACGCCACCCCCTCGTGTGCCACAATAGGTGCTGTACGCTCACGGCACTTGCCGCAACAGCCTGGTAAAGACCGCACGGGGAAGGCGCCAGGACCCATGCATTGGGTCGCACGCATGGACGCCGCGTGCCGAACTTCATTCGCACCGTACGTAGCCAACCGTGCTCATCGGAGGTGCGGGGGGCAGCAGGATGACACCAGCCCCGATGCATCCTCACGAGTGAGCGAGACGGTGCGGAGGCCGCGTGCTGCGTGGCCCTGCGCCCCCCCCCCCACGGGCTCGCCAGGCGTGGCCGCGCTCACCAGGCGGAGGCGAGCGGAGCCGCTCGTGTTGGACACCACCTCGGTCTCCAGCTCCACCACGCGGAAGTCCTCGCATCCTCTCCCGTCCCCGCGGACTCCGTCCTGAGACGGCCGCACGGAACCGCGAGCAGAGAGGACAATTGGACACTGACAAGACGCAAGGCCGATGCTGCTCCCTCATCATCATCAGCTGCCATGATCTATTCACTGCTGGATAAAGGCCACCCCACTCCGTCGCCATCTCTACTGCTCCTACAATAATCCGTTCGACGCCAATGTTCACTTTACAATCATTTATCAATCCACTGCTGGATTAAGGTCTCCCCACTCAGTTGTCGGGGGTTTTTTGACCATACTTCACCACGCTGGTCAGTGCGGATTGGTGAAGTGGATGAGGCCAGCACGGGGTTCCGATATCACTCGCCGATGCCGTTAGCCACGACTGGGCATCTACATCTACCGGACATCTGCAAAGCGAGTGGACGTCTGTGAAAAAGAGCTTCATAGCTCATCGGATTCTTCCAATCTAAATAATGATTCTGATCAAGTGAGAACCCATTGCTGTACTGTACTACGCCCTCCCCCAGCCCCCCTTCGGTCACCACCAAGCTGCACTGACCAGCGTGGTGAAGTATGGTCAGACTAGTCGAGTGTTCACGATAGGCGGTGGAGGCGAGGGAGGCGATTGCCCGGCTCGCGCACCAAGAGGGGAGCTGCTGGCCCTGCACTGGCCCTGCACTGGGCCTGCATTGGGCCCTGCACTGGGCCCTGCACTAGGCCCTGCACTGGGCCTGCACTGGGCCCTGCACTGGGCCTGCACTGGGCCTGCAATGGGGCCCTGGATTGGGCCCTGCACTGGGTCTGCACTTGCCTGCACGCCGTGCACGATGAAGGCCTTCTCCGCCTCGCTTAGCATCAGCAGGGCCGCCATGTCGCCTCCTCTCCCTCCTCCTCTTGTCTACGACTCCTCGTCTCTCCTCCTCTATCCTCTTCCTCGTCTCTCTTCCGATCTCCACTCGACTCCACCTTCTCTCGTCTCCACCACCTCCTCTACCTCCACCACCTCCTCTACCTCCACCACCTCCTCTACCTCCACCACCTCCTCTACCTCCACCACCTCCTCTACCTCCACCTCCTCCTCTACCTCCACCACCTCCTCTACCTCCACCACCTCCTCTACCTCCACCTCCTCCTCTACCTCCTCCACTACCTCCACCACCTCCTCTACCTCCACCACCTCCTCCTCTACCTCCACCTCCTCTCGTCTCCACCTCCTCTCGTCTCCACCTCCTCTACCTCCACCACCTCCTCTACCTCTACCACCTCCTCTGTCTCCACCACCTCCTCTATCTCCTCTCGTCTCCCCCTGGCGCCGTCTCCGCGTGCTCTGCGTCCTCCGTGCCCGTCACGGCGTCGCGTGCTCGTGACGTCCTCGTTACGTCATCGTGGCGCCCGAGGCCCCTCCCCCCCGGCGTCATCGCCGCCGCCGCCGCCTCTCTCGGAAGCAGCGCTGCCTCGAGCGCTCTCCTCGCCAGCGGAGGCCGCGCCGCCTCTCAACCCCGCCCCTCCTGCTGTGGTTGTGGTGGTGCTGTGGTTGTGGTGGTGCTGTGGTTGTGGTGGTGCTGTGGGTGTGGTGGTGCTGTGGTTGTGGTGGTGCTGTGGTTGTGGTGGTGGTTGATGCGTGAGGAGTTTCGCGCGTCCGTACTCACTGCGGAGTCCGGCGACTGGGCCCCGACTCCTCGTCGTGGACACCTAGCCTGGTACAAACACACCCTGCCCTGACACCCTGCCCTCACACCCTGCCCTGACACCCTGCCCTGACACCCTGCCCTCACACCCTGCCCTGACACCCTGCCCTGACACCCTGCCCTCACACCCTGCCCTCACACACTGCCCTCACACCCTGTCCTCACACCCTGCCCTCACCCTGCCCTGACACCCTGCCTTGACTCCCTGCCCTGACTCCCTGCCCTCACACCTGCCCTGACACCCTGCCCTGACACCCTGCCCTGACACCCTGTCCTGACTCCCTGCCCTCACACCTGTCCTGACACCCTGCCCTGACACCCTGTCCTGACTCCCTGCCCTCACACCTGCCCTGACTCCCTGCCCTCACACCCTGCCCTGACTCCCTGCCCTCACACCTGCCCTGACACCCTGCCCTGACTCCCTGCCCTGACACCCTGCCCTGACTCCCTGCCCTCACACCTGCCCTGACTCCCTGCCCTGACTCCCTGCCCTCACACCTGCCCTGATACCCTGCCCTGACTCCCTGCCTGTGTGTGCGACAGCCCGGTCCTGGCTCGTGCGGGTCTCAGGCCACACGCCACGGGGCTCGGGCTCCATCGGCCTCCTCCTCCACCCCGGGTGAGTGGGCCGCTTATTGCTGGCAGTTCTGGTTGTGGTGATGGTTGCGGTGGTAGTAGTCATTGTAAATGTGATGATGGTTGTGGTTATGATTGTGGTACTGATGGGTGTTGGCGGTAGTGGTGTCTGTGGTGGTGATGCTAATGGTGATTGTGATAGTGGAGCTGGTGATGAGTGTGGTACTGATGGTGCTGGGGGTAATGGTTGAGGTTGTGGTCGTGGTGATTGAGTGTTTCTGCTGGTGATGATTGTGCTGGTGGTGGTAGCGGTGGTTGTGGTGATGATTGTGCTGGTGGTGTATTCTGTGAACTACGGTTCTAATAGGTTGACATACAATGCCCAATTAAGAAGTCTTCTCAGGGTTACACTCACGATTTTCCGCATCTTTAAAGTGGGTGAAATGTTCGTCCGAAATCAGAGGCTCCATCTCATTTGACTCTCATCACCATCATCATCCACATCCATGAGCAATCCACTGCTGGATAAAGGCCTCCCTACATTATTTACATCCGTCACGGGTCTGTGATGCACGAATCCATCAAACGCCTGCACACGAGGAACTAATGACATCACTCCATCTTCTTAGTCAACGTCCTGTCGGCCACGTTCCATTCCTTGGCTGCCACTCTTGTCACTATTCTTGACCATAGGTGTCCCTTCAAGCGACGTGTCCTGCCCAATCGATCTACATTTATTCCCAGCTTGAAGGATACCAATAACCGTGCACGTGTACTTTAAGCTGTTAACTTTCTCCGTTTGAAGTAAACCTTTATTAACGTGGTTTCAGTCAGGATCAAAATTGTCATCTTTATTTATCCTGGAAGAATCCGATGAGCTATAAAGCACTTTTTTTACATATTTCCAGTAGGGGTGGGTCAGCGAGTTACATCAACAAACAATACACAAGACGATATGAGTGCCACTTGCACAAGTACATAAATTTCTGCTCCCCTCCCAAATCAGAGAATCCCCTTGAAGCGCCCACGTTAGACACAGAGCTGGCGTCAGGCTCTGCGATGACCAATTTTCCTGCGGGAATGAAGAGGGACGCGCTGTGGCTTAGTGGAATAAGAGGATGAGCTGAACTCGAGCCGACGACCACATCTCAGCCCAGCCACTGGCTGGCGTTCAAAGTCACGTCTAACCGTGAGGTCAGCCGCAGGGCTATCAAAAAGGCATTTTGTTTTACAGATGGATGTAGTCTTGACAGTCAGGAGTGATTTTGCTATGTGTAATCACAATTGTGTGGTTATCGGGACCAAAACCTCACGCCATAAAAACAGTTTCTTCCCATCTGCTGCTGGCCTGTTAAACAAGGCCAAGGGCTAACACTGTTTTTAACATTTGATCTACATAACGACACGTTGCTGATATTAACTATGTTTCCCTATTTGTATTTTTAAATTATATCTTAAAGCTATTTTATATTCGATATTTATTTAATTTTATATACTTCAGCCCCTTAGTGTTAGACTTTTAACCCTTATTATAGTAAGACTTGTTTAAAACTTATTTAAGATTTTAGATTCCTATATGTTGAATGTATGCACCATCCTGCCAAAGTAAATTCCGTGTCGGTGTGAACTTACATGGCGAATAAAACCCTTTCTGATTCTGATTCTTTCTGACGATGGCGTACAATGGCCGACTCATTTCGAATGACGTCAGTGGACCTTTAATGTCCACTGTGAAACAGATGGCTCGTATTATTGTGATAATACACCTGCAGTAATAACCAGGCCAGCCCGCCGGATTCAAACCACAAACCTCTGCAACAAGCGGGAAACGGGCCAATGTTGGTCTGTGTCACTGTGGCGAGCACGGTGTAATTTTCTGTGTATGTGTGTTGGGTATTGTGGTTGGAACGTTTGGGTTGTATACCAACCATCCCCCCCCCCAAACCTCTCTCACAGTGGCCTTTGCTACGGAGTCACGTGCCACCTACTGTGGTCTACTAGTGACCCGGAAAATATTAATGAGAAATTAAACCACATGTAAGACTGTGGGTCTCTATGCGAGGCCAGGGCCTTAATTTTAAGCTGGAAAATATTTCCGCACCCGGCACTCTACATCCAGTATACCCCTCGCTATGGCTGTGGCTATGAGTCACGTACCACCTACTCGAGTTTTACAGCGACCCTGGTTGTCGGGTACAATTGTGCGCGTATCTTCGTGGGGCGGCCTGCGCCTTGAACTTCCCCCCTCCACCCCAACGTTGTTGCCTGCGTAGGTGTCCGTGATGCCCGGCGGTGAGGCGCGGCTGCGATGCTGACGTGGGGCCGGCGGGCCCCGAACCGCGACATCGAGCGGCGCGCCGAGTACCGGGCCCCGGAGCGCTGCACGCCACCCCCGCCCGACATGGGCCGCGCCGGCTGGTTCATCCGCGACTGCTGCGGCATCACGTGCGCTGTTATCACCTGGATGCTCGTCGTGTACGCCGAGTTTGTGGTGACCTTCGTGCTGCTGCTGCCGGCGAGCGTGCCGTACGCGCTGTTCAACGGCACCCTCTTCAACGCCCTCGCCCTGCTCGCCGTCGCCTCGCACTGCAAGGCCATGCTCACTGACCCCGTGAGTCGCTCGCACGGTCACGCTGGCCTGACCCCCTGGTCTGACCCCCCTGCCTGACCCCTCCGGTTTGACCCCTGCCAGTTTAACTCCCCTCCCCCCACAGCGCAATCTCACTGGCCTGACCACCCCTGGCCTGACCCCCCTGGTCTGACCCCCCTGCCTGATCCCTTCGATCTGACCCCTACCGGCCTTACCTTACAAGAGTGGGTACATGTTTTATTTATTAACACGGTTGCTGAGTACCGCCCCAAAAGACCAAGCAGCCAGCAACAAACAGCGCCATCAAAGTTGCACGAGGTGAGAGTTTACATACTTTTGAATTGAATGAGGTTATTATCATTATAAGAACTTGGGAAGAGCTGATGATGAGAGGAGAGAATTCCAAAGTCAAGCAGTGCGAGGGAAAAAGCAGAAAAATAAGTGATGTGACCTGGAGTGTGTGGTTTGTGGGAGTGGGTGAGTGTGTGGGTGAGTAGGTGGGCGAGTAGGTGGGTGGGTGAGTGGTTGGGTGGGTGGATGAGTGGGTGAGTGGGTCGGTGAGTGAGTGAGTGGGTGGATGAGTGGATGAGTGGGTGGATGAGTGAGTTGTTGTGACCTACAGTGTGGTGGTTGAACACAGTTGATGAGATGGAAGAGTCTGGTAGACCGAGTCTCTAACTTGGGTGGAGGAATGAATGAGTGAAGTTCACAGTAACCATGGTGGTAGCAGCAATTGAAGAGTGATAACGAGACGGCTGACCACTGCTGAGCGAGCGTCTCGTTCAGTGGGACGGATCTAACTGAATTGTGGGCCAGCAGGCCCTGTCAGCCTTTCCTGAGACATAAGTACCCATTCAGAAGTGGATATCACAGAGCTACCTCTGAGATTTCTTCATCAAGTGACACGCTGGTCCGCATGCAGTAGAGGGCAACACTTTCTCACTCGCTCTGCCATATGTGAGTAATGTTAATCATGCAGTCAAACCATACTTTCAATTCTCAGAGCTTTAAATTATCCAAAATAAGTGAATAACCAAATTTGTTGTAATAGTTTTTTTGGTGCAGTTATTGGATATAACCTGGATTTAAACCTAGATTTTATCCCAGGAACTCAGCGGTCCGAGCTCCGCGCTGACCTCTGAGCCACCAAGCCACCTAATTGAGTCTGCTATCTTTGAACAGGGTGGAGTTGCCTCATACATCTGCTGATAGCCAGGCAACGTCAACAGAAAGCCAGGAATGTGGCAGTTTCCCCGCTGACTCAGAGCAGTTACTGGCGACGAGTGGCATTATTGACTTACCTTGTGGGCAACATTTTAACGTTTCCCAAAGCGCCGCCATCTCTCACGGTCTCGCAACGCATCAATCCGTCTAGTTTCTACACATGAGATAATTTTATTGCTCCATCTCTGCGGTAGACATATTCTGGGGTGTGTTATGTTGCTGCCACTCCACCGATATTCTTGACTGCTGGCCATCTTCCCTCCGAGCAACGCATCCCGCCAAAGCCTGCAAAATGTTCTTAACAGAACCTTTAGCCCCTTGACCGGCGTACATAAATAGTTCACAAAGATCACTGCGAACAATAACATAATCTAGAGGTCAGGCAACCACATGAGCAACACAACGATCAATAGGACCCCTTGTGGAATGCTTTTCAATCAAGGCTAAATCATTAACGGCTGTCCCAGGGTCTGTCTGTAAAGGAGGGTGACGATAACTCTCATAAAGATGAGTCAATGTAAATTAATTTTTATTTTAAAGTTGTGCTGCGTTGCCACGCTGTCGAAACCGGTCGAGTTAATCAAATGGTTGCCCACAGCTCGGTAGTTATGTCCACATTTCTGATCCATACATCCTAGCAGGTGGTACAAGTTCATAAAAAAAAGAAATACTTCCGAGAACAAACGCACTTTGCACAGTGTTACAGACTCCAAACATACGCATGCTTTTTCTTAGTTGTTTTTTGCACTGCCGTGCGTTGGTGCTTAGGCCATGGATTTCAACACTCATGATGTTCAACAGTGTCCCGTGTTGGGAACGCGCGCGCGTGTGTGGGGGCTTTGTGGAAGTGGCAGCACAGTGGCTAGTGCACTGCGGCTACGAACCCGGTGATCAGAGTTCGATTCTCGCTCATGGCCAACGCCAGTGGCAATTATCTGAATCGATGTTGGGCCTCCCCTAAGTCGACTCAGTCTCAAATGAGTACCTGGAGTGATGTGTAAAGATCGCCACTGGAGAGACAAAGTCAGACGGACGTGGTGCTGGCAACCCAGCCCCTCGTGTGCCATGCCGGCTTTCATAGGTGCTTGCTAGTAGCACTTGCCCCAGCAGTCTAAGGCTATACGGGAGATGTTTGTCTTGGTTTTTAGGCTTTGCGGAAGTGGTGGCACAGTGGTCAGTGTGCAGTTCTACGAACCTGACGACTCAAGCACGATTCCTGCTCACCAACAATAATAGTGGCGGATATTTGAACCAGTCAAATCAGCCTGGTGCAGCGTCTAACCATCAGCACTGGGGGGGACAAAAGCATCCGGGTGTTGTGCTGGCCACCCACCCACCCCCTCATATGCCATGCCGGCCTTCATAGGTGCCTGCAAACAGCCCCAAAAGTCTGTTAAAATCTATACGGGGATCTTTGTCTCTTTGTCCGTGGGCTTTGCGGCAATTCCCACGCGACTAGTTTTGCGTCACGACGTGGCGCCGCTCATCGGTGTCCCCGTGCTTTGACGTCCGCGTCGCAGGGCGCTGTTCCCAAGGGCAACGCAACAAAGGAGTACATCGAGAGCCTGCAGCTTCAGCCCGGCCAGGTGGTCTACAAGTGCCCCAAGTGCTGCAGCATCAAGCCAGACCGGGCCCACCACTGCAGGTGACCACCGCTCCCATGAGCTCGTATCGCCACCCCACGCACCGTCCACCATTTGCGCCGCGTGGGGACGGCTGCCGCCGGGGGTCCCCTGGGGTAGGCTGCAGCGGGGCATCGGCAGGGTCGAGATGAGATGCAAGGCGCTTCGTTGAGTCGCTGGGGCATTTAAGCTCTTACAGAGCTCATTTACCTGAGTTTATGCTCATCTAAAATTTTCAGCAGGGGCATGTCTATCCAAAGGACAACCACTGTTGTCTTCCGCACTGATTTTATCGGCCCCGTAGGGACGATGGGCTGAGTCAACCTGCAGATTGCTAAATTAGGATTACACAGCAGCAACACCGCCCCCGATTGTACTGCAAACCGTGTCCGTGAAGCGTAGCAGTGGCTTCCTCCGTGGTAGCCTTGCGTGACATACAGTGACATACAATGTACTCGCGATTGTAATGATGGTTATCTGATCCGGGCAGCGTGTGCAAGAGGTGCATCAGGAAGATGGACCACCACTGCCCCTGGGTGAATAACTGTGTCGGTGAAAGCAACCAGAAGTACTTTGTACTCTTCACAGTAAGTATCCTCTGCGTGTGACGTGGCTTGCAGGGTGATCACGTGTAGTGGCAGGGCAGCGCAGCGGTAACACGTGTGCCTCGCAGAAAGAAGGGGTGTGGATTTGAATCCTGACTGGGGTATCTTTCGGTGTGGTTTCCTCCCATAGCCAAAACAATGTACATTGTAACTGGTAGTTGCCAAGAACTGCAATGCTGAAAAATTACTTTCAAAGTTACTCAATTGGCAGGACCGTCATGATAAACAAGCAGACAATGCGTCTCCCTCACCTTTCCGTTTTTCTGCATAAAAAATAAAAGTTTTTTTGTACATTCCACGGCCCTCCACGACCACCTGTGTGAATGCATAAGTTGAGCAGCTTGATTAAATACAAGCAAACAATACAAGAAAACTCTGAACATGCAAACAAAAACATGCTCTGGTAATCTATGCTTTGTCTTTGAAACTGATTGGTCTACACCAGAGACAGCCTTCTTTCAGGCCTAGTCTCAACTTGTGTTAGACCAGCGAATGCGTGGTCTAACACCACAAGTATATGTGGTTAATGGAGACATGATTCCTTGCAAAAGGTTTTTGTTTTATGTTTGAACATCTTAACACCTGTTTTATTGTCAGAAAGGGTAAACCCTATGCTTATATTTTTTGATTTAAAGCTTTCGTGACTGCAGGGATTCATATTCTTGGTTCTTTCGGTAAAGTCACGTAGAAGGGAAACCATAAAATAATAAAAATATAAAACTAATGAAATAATAAAATAATAATATAAATAAGATAATAAACTATATTTTTATTATTTTGTATTATTTATTGTTTCCCTTCTACGTGACTTTACCGAAAGAACCAAGAATACCTATGCTTATACTTTGATACTGGATACTGGCAAGAAAGGTCCCATACATAAACACCGTCTAATCAGCAGTCAGGAGCACTTGAATCGCAGCAAAAACAACCAAATACTCCTTAAAAAGAATCCCGAGACTCAGTGAGGCTTCTCTGGGTCAACAATAAGAACAATAATAATAATGAACACGTACTGACGACATCCAGCTGTTGTGGTTTCCTCCCACGTGCTGCACGGTCGTGGGATTGGCTAAAAATTGGAATGTCCGATCGTCCTGTTATGACCAATCCCCACTAAAATGTTTATCGGTTTGACTGCCATGTGACGAGCATGACTGTGGCAGGACAGTTGGGGAAGTGCTGCCCCCTACTGTGTGAATCGTAGGTCACTTGACGGGTTCTTACAGGTAGCTCTGTAGTATCTGTTTCCATGGGCACGAAGAGCTGCACGGCTCTGCGAGAGTTCCGAGTGGACACTTGGGGCTCATGACATGTCGCCGGTACCACAAACAGGACACAATGTAATGTTTAAAAATTATGAAAAGCAACGAAGCTGCGGCAACGTGAAGGTCGCTCTTGGTGCCAGTGCAGCGTTGTGCTCTTGTTCATTCACAGATGTACATCGCGCTCATCTCCGTACACGCACTCGTCATGGTGCTCATCCACTTGGTGTACTGCTCCGGGGAGAACTGGGAGAGTGAGTACTCTCACATCTATTCGCTTGCCTCTGCTCTCATTTATATTTGGTGGCCTCTTCTCTGATATCTATTTTGGTTTTTTTCTGATAAGCATTAATATGTATTAATGTTAACACATTACTATTATATACGTGATTGTAATTGGACGTGTAAAAATCTGTGTTGTAAGAATTGTGTCATTGCACTTCATGGATTAGTGAGCCCTGCGACGACTAGAGGCGCCGTAGTGCACCACCATAATAATAGTGTCTTGAACCAAATCGTGACCAAAAATAATAACAAATGATCACAAACGAAGTGGGAAGCAAATCCTTATATCTCCACAGATAAAACCCCGCCATCGTGCCACGCAACCTGAATTTAATTTGAGCTGGCTCTGTCTGAGTCAGCGACCCAGAAAATCGTCCCGTGCCCGGCACACCACATCCAGTATTACTCTCGCCGTGTCTGTGGCTACTAGTCGCGTTCTGTATCAAGGCGAGCTCCGGTCCGCCAGCGACCCGAGTGGGGAAAATAATCTCCACGTGCGTAACCGTTGTGTCGCGAGCAGAGTGCAGCACGTTCTCGCCGTCGTCCTCCGTGATCCTGCTCATCTTGCTGTCCCTCGAGGGCCTCCTCTTCTTCATCTTCACCACGATCATGTGCGGCACGCAGGTCTACTCCATCTGCACCGACGAGACGGTACGCGGGCGGTGCAACCTCGCGTCCCCTACCGCGGACGCGAAGCCGCGTGTCGCGCTGCAGGCCGCGTCTTCCGGGAGGTAGCTCGAAGGTCAGGGCACTGAGTCGGAACCCCCAGGAACCTGGGTTCGAATCCGAGCCAGCAGCAGCTGCTACCTGTGATTTGTGACTGGGCTGAGATCACCGACTCGCTGCACTTGAGAATCCAGTTTGACAACCCAGATCCAAACCAGGGACTTGGTATTGTTGGCTCCGTGCTCTGACACGCCATTGAGCCCCTGGGCATACACCCATTTCATGTATTTAGTTGTATTCTTGCTTTGGCATTTATTTGATTTGCTACCAGTTTGATGTCTGAATTGGTCTTCGATCTGGTCCAGGTCTCCCTTGCGAAGCAGACCGTATTTACACATCTAACTGGTTGTTTCCAACTCCTGAAGAAATAAGGGTTGGATTGTTTTCTGATAATGGGGGCAATTTGCAATCTGCTACTTGAGACCGACGTAGTAGATATCATTTTAAAAGTGTGATTGCAGATTGTATGTTGGGTATTATTCTTGTGTCATGCGCTTTTGTTGGTACGGGAGGGCCCTGCACTTAGAATGAGATGGGGCCCCCTGTCCCAATTTCCCCCCTCTTTGTAACCCGGTGCCTGGACCCCTCTGACCTGTGGTCCCGAGTGCAGTTAAACCACCTGCACACTCATACCTTCAACCACTCAGCTTCTGGTGAAACGATGCAGTGAATGGTGATGGCTGCTCTGCAGGGAATTGACCGTGTATTATTATGATGATGACAGGATTGATCGTGGCTGATGATGATGACTCTGTGCTGTGCAGGGGATCGAGCAGCTGAAGAGAGAGGAGCCCCGATGGGTGAAGCAGTCCAAGTGGATGAACATGAAGTCCGTGTTTGGTCACCCGTTCTCCATCGCGTGGTTCAACCCTTTTGTAGCACCGGATTACGGAAAAGCGGAGCCGTACCAGTACACGGTGTGACCCGTGCCGGCCCCACCGCCCGCTGTGCGTGTGCCAGTGAGTCCCGGGCATTATTCGGGACGTGACCACAGACACTGACGCCCGGTGGAACCCGGGCTTGGCTGGAGTCGGCGTGTAAATTGTACGCACGTGTGTGCGAGCACACGCGAGCGAGTGTGTCGTTGTGGCAATTTTGAGATCGTGCTGAATTAATTCTCGCCTTAAAAGTCATTGGGTAAAGAGCATCTCGGTAATGCTTAAGGCAAGGGAGGAATCGAATACAGTGTTTGCCAAATATTCGATGGACGTTCACAACGATTAACGCGTAGGCAGCACCAACAGCAGCAGCAGGATCGCCTCGCTGTGCATGGCATTGAGAGGCACCTTCGCCACACGTAGAATTTGTAATGATACTGTGATCATGAGCGACTGTGCTGCTGGTGTTGGGAAGCGACCACTAGCCTTCAATAAATAGTGCCAGGATACTGCGTTCATACGTGTGTGTGCGCGCCCTGCAGTGTCACAGGGCACAGCGGAAGGATTCCGGGTGCCATTCACGACTCGCGTGACACTCTGGGGCACTTGATATTGCTTCATGCCGAGGGTGAGGTGAGGTGTGCTGTGGGTAACGCGTGTAATTCGAGTTCAAATCGTCACGTTGCTAAGACTGCACACCAATAGGAAAAATATCCATCGGGCTGCCGACAAAAATCACAAACGATGATGGCGGGTCGGCGCATCCTTCTGGCTGCCTTTGTACATTTTAGTTATTTTAATCTCTCCGTTGTGTTTTCGGCTTGTGCCGCATGCTGTTCGGCACGACGTCCCGAAGTTTCTCTAGACGTGCCGAGAGCTTCCTCAGGAAGGGAACGATCTTGAAGAAACTTCGGGTATTTAGGTGATGTCAAAATCAAAATACAAGTGTAAAGGAACCGGTGGGTCTCACTGACAGTGGCGGGTTGTCGCTGTTGCTGTGCAGTCTTTGACCCCGCGTGTCTGGGTATCATTGACAGCCCCCGTGCAAGCCTGTGAGCGGGTTATAAATTGGCAAACATTACGAGTGTGTAATATTATGCAAATATTCCAAAGAGTGATTTTTTTTTCTCCAAAAAAAGCTCTTTTAACGAAATGGAAAACCACTACATTGTTTACTATTCTCATAGAGTTTTACATCAGTTGGAAATACATGATAGAATGTCATAGCGCTTTCCATTTTAATCAAAGGGGCGGCACTTGACAGGAATACCATTGGGGCAGTACTTCTCAGTCTTTCATGATGCCAAGCTGGGCCACGCTATGTCAATTTACAAAGGTGGTGAGCAAGGCTTAATTTCAGTTGGAGCTGTCCGGGTCAGATATCTTGAAAATAATGCATGAGAAATTAAGCCGGAGGGAGGGTGACACACAAAATAGTATAATGCAACACTTGTGTGTATGTGTGTATGTTAAACTTCTTTCGCACCGTACATAGCCAACCGTGCTAATCGGAGGTGCGAGGGAAGGATAACAGACTAAACACAAAAAGCAGTTCTGAAGAAATTCGATTTTAAATTAGATTTAAAAGTGCATAGCTCCAGTGGCTTCCTAATATTAGAAGGAAGAGCGTTCCAGATGGCCGCAGAAGAACATCTGAAAGTGCACGATGCAGTGATGGGTCTTTGTTCGATGGTTAGCCAAAAGCCGCTGCTGTTCGGATGACCGGAGTTCACGTGATGGTTTATGCTCCTTGAGATCAGCAAAGTTGTGTTGCTGGAGGATGCGCATGAGGCTGTGTGGAGAGAATCCCCAATTCGATGATAATCTTCTGCGATGGTAGCGGAGGCGGTCAATCTTAATTGAAGTAAATAAGGAGTCGACATTTTTACGGAAACCTTGGGTGAGAAGCGCTGAACGGTGCCGAGTGCAGTGCTGTAGTTGAGTGAATTAAAGATTTTTAAGCCGTTTTTTTTTAACGTGAACCTTGTTTGATCGCAGCACGTTGAGGCGGTGTTCACCCCGCCACCTGCACGTGCGGCGGAGACCCCCGCATAAACGCGAACGTCGGCAAACGCCGCGCGCTGCAACGCATCGTGGTCCGTGGCGAGATGTCACTCCTGTCCGGAGATGCCCTCCCCCCCCACCAACCTTCCGCCCCCTCAAAGGCTCAGCCCCCCTTGGACATTTTAAAGTCAAAAATATCGGTTACAATATTTAACGGCGGCGGTGGTGGTTTTTCTTCAGCGAAGCGATGGGCGCCGCAGCCATTCCTTGTACACGCAGAGGGGTGACGGCCCAAGCTGATGGACGGGAGCGGAACGCATCGTTGCCCCGCTCTTTCTGGCGTGCAACGTTTCTTTTAAACTTTGTTTATCCTTGAATGTGCCGTGCACTTCACGTTATACGCGCTGACGTGACAGGGTGGCTCTCCAGCGTTGTTAGTTTCTCATTGCATGAGAGCCGGTACAAGCCAGCCGGTACTGCACATGCATCACACCATATATGGTACTGCACACGGCCATGTGAAATGATCTGAAAAGATAAATGAGCAGCCATGCAATTTCTTGCTCACACCACTGCTGGCAGAAGGGCCTCCACGAGCGGGATCATTTAGAGGATATTTTGGCCTCTTTCACACCGGCCAGCCATCTCAAAAGAGATGGGAGTCCCCATACCGACACTTTACCCTGCCACACGCGACCTGCCGATGGACAAGGTGTGGTATACCCATGTGGACACTGCTGCGTGGACAGAGGCAGCCATGGGAGGGAGGGGTGAGAAACTTGCACCGTTTCAACTGCCGCCACGGAAGAGTGAATCGCACCGATGGCCTGGGTTGCAAGTCCTGTGTGCTCACCGTTACACGAGGGCAGGATCCCCAGATGTGACCTCGGAGCAACAAATCCGGGCCTTTGGTTGACTCTGGACGGAATAATGACCGTGTCAGATGTCTCCCGCTGGGACTCTGCTACCAGTAGATCGCAGTCGGCCTATCGTCCTTCGTTTGCTCTTCCAGCGAGAAGGAAAAGCATCACTTGATTTTTTTTACACCGTCTTTTGACGAAGACCAGCCTCAAAACTTGCTCAAATTTAATTGTAATGCGGAACTAATCGCACACTAAAAAGAACGCCACTGCCGTTCACAATGTTGAGTTTTCATCGCTGTGTAAAATTGTGCGGTGCGTTTTAATGTCGCAAAGCACTGCCGCGGGACGTAAGTTGGCGTGAACATTCTATCTTTGTACGTTTAGACAGTGTTTCACGATCTCATAGCAGGCTATCAGTGAACATTGGAGCTGGCGCGACAGCAATGGCACCTGGCGTTTGCTGACCTCGCTGAGAGATTAAAAAAACATCCGTTGTGTTCGTAACTGTGGTGACTGAGCTTAGAGAAGCCTCTTTTCTCGGCATACCCGCACAGATAAATATCAGTGGCCTACATATTTGTTCAACCAGTGGAACATATTTGACGCCTCAACAAAAATGCCCCACCACCACCTCTACGTATTTGTACCGCTTGCAAGATGATTCTGAGCTCATCAAATATTCAGGAATGTAAACCAAAATTCCTAAATATTAGTTCTTCAGGGCACAGATATTCAGGGGGGGAGGGTGAGAATCATTCTCTGACGTCGGGCTCACTGCTTGAACCAAAACAATTGAGGCTGCAGTCTGTTCAAAACTGGAAGTTAACAAACTAGTTTACTGCCCTCGCAGTGATGTGGCTATTGGGTGTGCCGGCGGTGCCACTGCTCCATTGACCAGTGGTTCAAGCTTCATGCTCCACAGAGGGAAGTTGAGCCGGGACCCACCATTGCATTCATTCCAACAGGGCACATGCCAAACGCGCTCCACCCCTGGGCACCCTCGGCTTAAACGGTCCAAGTGGACTGGTCCTGAGGTCTCGTCCACACCTCGCAGCCAGGGAATTCACGTGGCCATGCTAAATTAGTTTGCAGAGTGGATATGGGAGTGGGGTTGCGTTTGTGGTCAGTGTATGTAAATACGGAATGTGAATAAAGGCACGGACTGGCAGTGTGTGCTTATTATGTTGGTGCAGTCACGGAATTGATTCTGCTCGGTGTTGTGTGCATGTTTGGAATTACATTGAGAGACCAACACGGCAGGGGGCAGGGTGCGTGTTTGAAACGTCCAGGCTGGCCTGCCAACGATCCGTCCTGGATGTAACCCTGCGAGATTGTATGAGGAGCTCGCAGATCCTTGAACGATCTGGACACAGACCTATCAGTGCGCTCCAGCAGGCGAGGCTCGCTCATGGAGCCCGCATGCCCAAGCATCTTCTGTTTGGCCGGATGGAGGGGGCTAAACGGGCGCGGCACGACCTACAGAAGAGATGGAGGATATGGAGCTGAGTGGACTTGCCAATAACTCGTATCAGCGGTGTTAAGATCGGCCTCTGTGGAAGAGGCTCGTGAAGGAGGCTTCTGGGCAGTTGGAGGCAGTCGCCCTCCAGCAACATCGAAGGGCGGAGGAGCGACGCTCACAACAACGAGCGAAGCGCTGGGCTGATAAAATTCAGCGAGTTAGCACAGTGGGGAGCATAGGCGGTGCATTTGCCAGTCATCTCAGTCGGTCAACCTATGGCACCTGGGTCTGTTCCGTGACCTCCTGCCAGCGAGCCGTCACACGTCACTCAGCCTCAAAGTGCACGTAGCCTGGCACAAACGACGTCAGCACCACTTTGTGGTTATATTAAAGTATTAAAGCTTTCGTGACTGCATAAAATTACTCATTGGTTTTTTCGGTAAAGTCACGTATGTAGAAATACAATTAAATTATATTTTAAAAAACAATCACGACGTTTCGATCACAACGCAAGCGATCTTCATCAGGTGTCAAGAACAAATCACGGAGGTAAATACAACAAAAAGATGAGAGACGAGAATTCAACAAACCTGAAAAAACATTACGTGAAGCACATCCAGTCAGGCCAACAACACAGACTTCCTGGCGGACCACGAATTTCAGAAGAGTTTTAAATTTCGTGTTCAACCTTTGGATTGCACATACCAGCATAGAATGAAAAATACGAGGTACACGGTCAGTAGAAATACATATACAAGTCCACCAAGAGGTAAGGAGGGAGGGCACTTTATGGTTGTTTGGGCGTGTGGAGGGGGCGGGGCGGGTGGAGGGGGCGGGGCCTGCCAGGAATTGACGCGACGCTCGACCCGGAAGTGGCGCGGGGGGTTTCCCCGTGGTGGGTTCAGCTCGGACTGGGGTACAACTCTTGTAACAACGACGACTGCGAACTACCGCTGACACCTGTGTTGCTGCTGCTGTAGTTGCTGCTGCTACTACTTCTGCAGCAGCAGCTTCTGCAGCTTCTGCAAGAGCTACTGCTGCACTAGCAGTGCACTAGCAGCAGCGGGCGGGCTGGCGGGCGGGCATCCAGCCGTGCGGACAGCGACCCTGCGTGTTTGCAGAAACATCCAGAGAGCCCCTTCGCTGCCCGCCCGTCGGGGTCTCGAGATCGGGGTCAAGTTTCCTGGTGCTGATTCAAGCGGCGATCGGGGCGACCATCGGCTTGCCGGAGATGGAGGTGGGGAATGACCCGGCCCGGCCGGCCCTGGGTGACCCCTTCCTGCAGTCGCCCATAGCCCGCGTCCGCGTCTCCCTCCGCGGACTTCGAGACGAGGCCGAGCGCCTCCTGAGAGAGAAGCCGCTCGGGGCGCCTCAACGCTTCGCGGCGCAGCTCGCGGCGCTGGGCGGGCCGCTGTCGGACCGGTACCAACACGTGGACGTGGAGCGCCTCATCCAGCCGAACGTGGGGCCGGTGAGACGCGCCCACGCGCCGTCGCTGGGAACTCCTCCTCCTCCTCGCCCTCTCACATCCCCGCTCCCAACGTCCTCGCTTTTCGCCTCCTTTGCAGTCCGCTCATTCCTCCAAAAGCTACCGCCTTACCCACCTCTCCACCCTCCTCCTCACTCCTTTAGGGTTCCTCCTCGAACGCTTCCCCATACACTTCCTCGTCGTTGTCGGCTCCTTCCCTCCAACTCCCCACACCTGCACAGCACCCATCCCTCCTCGCGCGCCTGCTCCTCCTCCACCACCGCCTCTCCCTTCTCATCTCCCTTCTCGGGTCCAAAGTCTGGATTCCCAGGCGCCCAGGGGTTACTGCTGTGTTGCAAGGTCCTGCCATGGACTCGGCTCCACGACACCAAACTTGCACCGTAATAGCCATGGCACGAGCACAGGACGGTTCCTTCAACACTTGTCAGGGAACTTTGTCGCCGCGGGAAACATCGTCCGGACACCCCGCGCGCGTGACTTGCTGCTGCTCATTCACGTTCACACACCACCACCACCACGCACACCACCACCAGCACACACCACCACGCACACCACCACCACACAACCACCACGCACACCACCACACAACCATCACGCACACCACCACCACGCACACCACCACGCACACCACCACCACGCACACCACCACCACGCACACCACCACACACACACCACGCACACCACCACCACAACCATCACGCACACCACCACCACAACCATCACGCACACCACCACCACGCACACCACCACCACGCACACCACCACCACCACACAACCACCACACAACCACCACGCACACCACCACCACCACACAACCACCACCACACAACCACCACGCACACCACCACGCACACCACCACCACACAACCACCACGCACACCACCACACACACCACCACCACACACACCACGCACACCACCACCACACAACCACCACGCACACCACCACACACACCACCACCACACACACCACCACACACACCACGCACACCACCACCACACACCACCACGCACACCACCACACAACCACCACCACACAACCACCACGCACCACCACGCACACCACCACGCACACCACCACCACACAACCACCACGCACACCACCACACACACCACCACCACACACACCACCACCACCACACACACCACGCACACCACCACCACACCCCACCACGCACACCACCACCACACACCACCACCACCACACAACCATCACCACACAACCACCACGCACACCACCACACACACCACCACCACACACACCACACACACCATCACCACACACACCACGCACACCACCACCACAACGCACACCACCACCACACACCACCACGGACACCACCACCACACAACCACCACCACACAACCACCACGCACACCACCCCACACACACCACGCACACCACCACCACCACACAACCACCACCACACAACCACCACCACACACCACCACGCACACCACCACCACACAACCACCACCACACAACCACCACGCACACCACCCCACACACACCACGCACACCACCACCACACAACCATCACGCACAGCACCACCACACACACCACCACCAGACACACCACGCACACCACACCACCCCACATGCACCACACAACCACCACACACACCACCCCACACACACCACACACACACCCCACACACCACCACGCACACCACCACCACACCACCCCACACACACCACTACGCACACCACCATACAACCACCACGCACACCACCACCACACAACCACCACGCACACCACCAGACACACCACACGCACACCACACGCACACCACCTCACACACTCCACCACACACGCACACCACACGAACCACCACCCACAAACACCACTACGCACACCACCACCACCACACACATCGTCTGATTTTTGGCAAAACGTCCAACACGCTCGTTGTGTACACGTCTTGCGTTCTGTGCTGTAGAACCCGGGATGTATTCGGGAAAACTTGTCTCTGTCTGTATGCAAACAGAGAAACATCCGGCACAGAGACTGTTGGGGCAAGTGCTGTTCGCGAGCACAAATGAAGGCCGGCACGGTACCACGCCCGACCGCCTTTGTCTCCTCCTCAGTGGCGGTGTTTTTACACACAGCACCGGGTACTCGAAAGAGGTTGAGTCGACCTCGGTGAAGCCCAGGACAACTTTCAAATGATCGTTGCAGGTGTTGACCGTGAGCGGGAATCGAACTTGAGTGACCCAGGTTCGTTATCCGCTCCACCATACAAAGACAAGACAAAGACGCACGTGTGGCCATTGTCTCTGGAGACGTGATCGCTAATGGGACGGTGGGAAGTGCGTTCAGGTCAACGGTCGCCTTGTAAAGCACCGCCTATTTGTGCGTGGCAGGCGTTGGTGGTGGCCACCGGGCACACAACGCCTCCTCCAGCCTCCAGCCCTGCTTGCCTGCCGCCAGTCGCTTCCCCGTGATCCCCGTGATGTGTGGCGAGATGGCACGCGTCGCGGCCGATTTGACGTCCCCGGGCCTTTACGAAGTTCCAGGTCGCGAAGACTCGCCCGACGCAGCAGCCCTAACGCCGTGGCCACGCAGGTGTAAAAACGCCAGCAACGTTCTCTGCTTCGCTTTGCTTTGGGCGGCAGGGGTAAACAAGTCGTGGCTTCCCATCGAGGAAGACCTGGGTTCGATCCCAGACTCGGGTGCCTTCCCTGTGCGGCGTTTGCGTGTTTTCCGCGTGGCTTTTCAAGGAAACATGTCGGCGCTGAGAAATTACTCGCAAATGAGCGTACTCACTTAGTAGGATCACACAGCAGCAGCTTCAGCAGCGGCACCGGCCCCTTGGCAGGACCCTCTTGAACAAACGAGGCTTTCCTGTGTAAACAACAATTGTGAACGGAATGAATCCAGTTTTCATTTGTCTCGATGGACTTGCATAGCTGGTCTGGCTAATAGTGCACCTGCTTATCAGCATTGCACGCATTCTTCACGCGCCTACGCGCTGAGACGGAACACGAATACGGACGAGGATGCGTTATCGCGTGCGAGCAGGGAACTAGCAGAGAACTAGCAGGGGACTAGCAGAGAACTAGCTAGACACGTCGGTCAGTGTGGGGGGCACGTGAGGACCGGTAGTTGGGGGTTAACATGGTGGCGGGCAGCTGCAGTGAAACTGTGCCAGGTGTTGAAATGTGTGGTGTCTGCCTAGAGGTGACGGTGGTTGTGGTGACGTATGGTGGTGTGGTGTGAGATGTTATAGAATGGTGTTGAAAGTGGTGGTGGTGGTATTCGGAGAGCGTGTTCTTGTTTGTGGGGAGCGGTAGCGAAGTGGTTAGCGCGCTGCGATACAAATCCGGTGTCCCGAGTTTGATTCCCGCTCACGGCCAACACCAGTTAACTGAACCGGTCCTAGGCCTCCCCTAGGTCGACGCGGCCTCAAATGAGTACCTGGTGCGGCATGTAAAACATCACCACAAGGGAGACAAAGGCGGCCGGGCGTTGTTCTGGCCACCTACCCCCTTGTGTACTGCGCCAGCCTTCATAGGTGCTCGCTAATAACACTTGTCCCAGAAACACTCTTAAGGCTACACAGGGGATTTTTGTGTGTTGTCTGCCAGGACGGCAGGGGCCTGAACGCCATACTCACTGCCCTCTCTGTTCTGGAGAAGTATGGCCGGAACCTCCTGAAGCCGGACAAGCCCGACTACTGGCAGACCGTCAAGTTTGACAACCCGGTGTTCAAAAACACGGTCGACTGTATCAAGGTATCCCCGTGCCACCGAGCCTCCCGATGCCATGGGGCCGGACCCTGCCAGTGGAGAGTGTTCACGTTGTGACAAACGACACTTTCGTTTTCAACCACGTGAGAGCCCGAGTATAATTTTCAAGGCAGACCCACAGCACAGAAACAAGTGCGAGAACCAACATCATGCATTGGCATGGATTTCGTAAGGTGACGCGGAATGACGATATTGCCCTGGCCGCCAAGAAAAATCCTTTTGGTGCTAGTTTTTTTCACCACAATTTGGGCATTGACTCTTTAACCAGTGTGGCCAGTTTACTATCGGGTTGAATTCCAAATAACAAGTCAACATTAAACTAAACATTCACATTGGTTCATCTTTACGAGTGTTATTACCCGCCCCATTCGGCGCAGACTAATGCCTTCACGCTTTCGGCCTCGTGGCTGAAAAGCGTCAGAAAGAGTCCGGTCACTCCCTGACGCTTTCCTGGGCAGGGCCAAGTGACCCGTGGCAACGTAGGCCTCCCTTTCCACCCGACGCACCGTGGCGTCATGGCGAGTCCCGACGCATCCACCGCGCCCACCGCCATCGCCGAGACGAGCGACACGAGGGGCGGTGCTGGTCCGTGTGGTGCGCAGGGCTCGCGAGAAGTCCTCGCAAAGTTTGGCTACACCGAGCGGCAGGCCGACGGGTTGGCCTTCCCGGACGCGCACGGCGAGCCCGACATGGACCGCGTCGCCGCCGTCACCTTCGACATCTACCTGGCGCGGTACGAGGTCGACATGATCTTGAAGGTGCGGAGAGGGCACGTGCCACGGCGCCTTCACTCCCCATTCGCCCGCGTTGGGTCGAGACCGCGGTAGCGTCGCGCGCCCGTCATGTGCCGCTTCGGAGGCACGGGTTGGTGGATCGCGTCGAGATTTATGCCGCCTCCTCAATCCGTCGCCTGTCACACGCGTGCCTTTCATTTGACTTTCTCCTTCGCAGGGAACTCACCCCAAGCCGGAGCTCTTCTCATTCATTTCGCAAGAAGAAATTGGGAAGTCCAAAGTGGAAATGCAGAAACAGGCCAGTCCACTGCCGCAGCCACCAAACGCAGGCACAACCCGCGTACCGGTTGTGCTGCGCAGATGTTACGCTGTGGCACTGTGCCGACCGTAGATACAAACGCGTTTTAAAAAAGGGGCTGGGGAACCGATTCACTACCAAGTGTCGAATATGAATGTAAAACACTGCTTGGGAACCGCACATTCACACGCAGCTCACTGCGGGGGCCTACTGAGCATGGCGCTAACATGAGACGCTCAGGTTGGAAATATTCCCATCCCAGTACCCAGATTAGACGCCTTCAGTGACGGATAAAACATTGCTTGCGGGCCTCTTCGATGCGGTTGGCCTCGTGTGGCTGAGGGCCGCGTGGACGAAGCTGCGGGCGGTAAGTTCCCCAGTTCGCGTTGTCGTCGTTGTATTGATGAAGGAGCCTTCGCCGGCAGCTCACGGGCCTCTCTTACTGTCGGCGCAGGTGGCTCAGTTGACCCCTCCCACAAGACCGCAGGTGCAGCCCGCCCACCCTCCCGACATTCAGACTCCTGCAGGTGCGTGCCGCGCGTTTGCCGGCGCCTGTGGCCATCTCGGTCGTGGCCTCGGAGCACCGCCGCTGCTGTTTGCGCCGCTGTCACGCTTGCGGAGTTGCTTCGTTTTCAAATTAATCATTGCACTTTTAACTCGCATGAACGGCATGAATGGCGAGCGGCTACTGCCAACCCACCTGGCTGCGCTCACAACGCTTGTCTGACAGCGGCCGTTGTTAGAGCCGTACAAAAGCGAGCCGTGCTTGCTCTAGCTCTCCGTCATGTGCGTTTGGGTCGTGATGCGCGTTGCTTGGGGAGATGTCCGACTTTTCGCTCCACGTGCTGGGAGCTTCCGTTCCAGAAGAATAAACAGTTCCTTCCGGAACAACTCTGGAACAGGCTAAACATGGTCCCTGCCCGTCGAGCGAAATGTCGGACGTCGTGACGATAAACACAGCGGCTGTCCAACCCGAGACGCGCGGGAGAGCGGCACGGCGGCACAACCGCAAAAAACCTGTGCGGTAGTGGGGCTCCTTTTATCCGCTCCGTAGCTCCGACCTTAACAGGAGATCTGTCCGGATTGCACAAGCCGGATTGAACAAGCCGTAAATAGCCACGCGCTCTATCGAAGGATGTTCGTTACTAAGTTGCAGGTTTCGTGATTAGTTCTTTTGCAGAATATTACAATGTCCTAACCCCTCAATACGTTTCGTAGTGTGGGCCCTGTAGAACGTGCGTGTGATGTTTCACGAACGAACGAGTGAAGGGGTGACGCGACCTGGAATTCCACCGAAGCCAGCGGAGAGGACAAAGGTTCTGGCCGGGAACCAGAGGGCAGAATCCGAGAAGCACGTTGTCCCCGCCGCCCCCACAGGTTCACACGACCCACCACCACCACCCACGCGGCCGGGCTGCATTTCCCCTAATGCTCACTGGGACGCTCGCATCTCGTCAGGGCTCAAAGGGGCGAGAGTCTTGTGACACCGAGGTCGTTTTGGCGATCATCAGAATATTTTATTTAGCCTGGAGGAATCCGAAGAACTATGAAGTTCTTTTGCTCCAGGAGGGGTGGATCAACAATTTACAACAACAATCAATGCAACAAAACAATTGGAGTGCGACAAACGATAGAAGTACAAAGAGCATATGTACGTAAATCCCTGCCGATTTGTGAATACCAAATGTGGCAGTGCTGGTGCCAAAGCTGTAATAAGCTGGCCCGGTTGTGGCCTAGTGCGCTGCTGCCGCTGCAAGTACAGTGTTGCCTTGGTGTGTGCATACTAACAGCAGAAACACGCTTCACCGGTTCAGTCATGCTGATGGGACGGGCAGGGCCCAGGACAGGCTGAAGATGGTCCCAGCCCGTCGAGCGAAATGTCGGACGTCGTGACGATAAACGCAGCGGCTGTCCAACCCGAGACGCGCGGGAGAGCGGCACGGCGGCATAACCGCAAAAACCTGTGCGGTAGTGGGGATCCTTTTATCCGCTCCGTAGCTCCGACCTTAACAGGAGATCTGTCCGGATTGCACAAGCCGGATTGAACAAGCCGTAAATAACCACGCGCTCTATCGAAGGATGTTCGTTACTAAGTTGCAGGTTTTGGTGATTAGTTCTTTTGCAGAATATTACAATGTCCTAACTCCTCAATACGTTTCGTAGTGTGGGCCCTGTAGAACGTGCGTGTGATGTTTCACGAACGAACGAGTGAAGGGGTGACGCGACCTGGAATTCCACCGAAGCCAGCGGAGAGGACAAAGGTTCTGGCCGGGAACCAGAGGGCAGAATCCGAGAAGCACGATGTCCCTGCCGCCCCCACAGGTTCACACGACCCACCACCACCACCACCCCCCACGCGGCCGGGCTGCATTTCCCCTAACGCTCACTGGGACGCTCACATCTCGTCAGGGCTCAACGGAGCGAGAGTCTCGTGACACCGAGGTCGTTTTGGCGATCATCAGAATATTTTATTTAGCCTGGAGGAATCCGAAGAACTATGAAGTTCTTTTGCTCCAGGAGGGGTGGATCAACAATTTACAACAACAATCAATGCAACAAAACAATACGAGTGCGAAAAAAGATAGAAGTACAAAGAGCATATGTACGTACATTCCTGCCGATTTGTGAATACGAATTGTGGCAGTGCTGGCGCCAAAGCTGTAATAACCTGGCCCGGTTGTGGCCTAGGGCGCTGCTGCTGCTGCTGCTGCAAGTACAGTGTTGCCTTGGTGTGTGCATACTAACAGCAGAAACACGCTTCACCGGTTCAGTCACGCTGATGGGACGGGCAGGGCCCAGGACCTTTGACGTTTTACGCATTGTTCTCTCATCGATAGAGGAAACAAACTATTTTTTATTATGCCAAGTAAGGACCACGGAGCTTTTAAGCTCTTCTTCACAAGTGACCTGGCCACAAATGATAAGCTCAGCGAAGTCACTTATCACGTGGAAAATTATAACAGTCAAATACTCTACGCTTCCAAAGAAAAATTGGACCAAAGTAGGCGTGATTGTTCCCGTGTTTGTATCCTAGGAAAGCCTGAGGGTGTTTTCTCGGAGGGTCCTGCTGATTTTTTGCAGCAGGAGGGGGCCAACAATTGATTTGTGATACCCACTGAAGGCCTCGGCAAGTGATCGTTCTAACTTGGATCGTGATGCCGGTACACAATGGCCTACACGTGAGCGTACCTTGACTCGTGACCACGTACATCACTACCGGCGCAGTATCGCCGAATAACCTGTCTTGTAATATAAATGATATTCATTGAAACCTGGTTTGAGACGATGCAGATGCAAAGGACCCTTTTTTTGCGGTCTCGGCGTAGCTGTGGTTAATTCGATTTGTGTGATCTGTCCCTCGCACGGTCCTGCCATGCCTTTGCTGCGCTCTGCGCCTGAAAGCTTTGCCCGGTCTCTCGTTGGCTCAAACCGGTCGCGTTGTGAAGTGCGCTTCGTCCGTGTCGCTCGGAGGTGCGAGAGCGTTAAGGCTCTGATTGTCAGGAGACAGTCAAAGCGATCCCTCTTGGCAGCGCTGCCCAACCTCGGTCTCACGGATTTCACAAATCCGCCCCTGCACAATTCCGGGAATTGTGACGATTTGAGGTCATCGTTGGGTTACAAATATTGAACGTTGTCCTCGTGCTCGCAGAATCGATGGCGTGTGCAGGGTGGTGCGTGCTCACCGCTCGCGTGCCGTCGACACGAATCGTTATGATCCAGCGACAATTGTTGCATCACCTCCTACCATGCTGTTTTATAAACCGCACACGACCGTTTTTTCAACTCGAGCAAAACTATCTTCTCAAGTTTCATTCGCTGAGGATGAAACTGTTCATTCATCAGCTTTATCTATCTTTGTCCATCTGTAATTGGGGGGGGGGGGGGGCGGCACAGTAACTTCCGTAAAGAAGATGTAATATGAACGGAACTTTAGGTTAAAGTTGCGTGGCTGTTAAGGACTCAACCCGAGAGGCCACATTGATCAAAGCGTTGGCCGTGCCCCCCCCCCCCCAAAAAGAGCCGCTATTCCAGCCCCGCTGTGTCCTGGCGGACGTATTGCTTCCTGCTCACCTCCCTCGGGCGCTCCCGTTGATATCGCTAATTAAACACCGCCTCCGCTCGCAAACGCGCGTCCGACAGCGCCACAGACTGCACGCACATGCGCGATTGTTCTTCCTCGGTTTTGCCCTTTGCGGCGTCACGTGTTGCCGGCGGCGGCGGCGGCGGCGGCGTGACCTGCGTGGCGCCCGCGTTGCCGTGCCGTTTCAGACGAATGCGCCATTTGTGCGGAGCCTCCGGACGTGCGCTGCCCCACCTGCGACAAGTCGCTGTGCGCCGACTGCGACACCAAGATGCACACGCACCCTTCCAGGGAGGCCCACGAGCGCGTCCCGCTGGCCTCGCCCGTCTCCAGTACGCCGCACGCTCATCCGCACTGGCCAGGATCTATCCTGCATACCAGGCGAGAGAGATAACGTCTCGCCAGCATAGTGCCCCCGCTGCTATGCACTGCTAGATGAAGGCCTCCCCAAGACGTTTTTTTTTACCATCCAGGGATGCAACAATCCCACGTGACTCCAGCACACGAGCCGAAGTCATAGCTAAGTTACGTTAACGACAATGGATCTAACGGGGCACCTCACCCATGAATTAGCAGGGTGTTTTGAGGACACGGCGGCCTTTGTCGCACTTGTCGTGCCTGTGGTTGAGTGTGGAGCCGTCTGTGCTGCCCCCGGTCTCGGTGATGTCGTGCGCGTGATGTCCCTGGGTGTCAGTGTGCGACATCTGCGGAGGAGACGCCGTGATGTCGTGCGTGTCCTGCGACAAGCGTCTGTGCACCGACTGCGACGGAAGCTTCCACAGGCATCCGCGGCGCTTCGAGCACGAGCGGGTGAACCTCAAAACGGGAAGGATCACCAAGCAGGTGACGAGGTGAGCGCCCCTAAGCTCGGCGCAAGCTGTCACCGCCACTGCAGGACGTCGGTCGTGATGCCCACCACGTGACGCCACAGCCAATAGCGCCCGTTATGGACGGCGGTCGTCCCTGCCGAGGCTCGGCCGCATTCCGGGCGATTTGGTCATCGGCCACTCCGCCTCGTCCTTTACCCACCGCCGATGTTTATCGGTGGTTTGAAAAAACCGCATCACCGCGCGGGGGCAACTGAGCGCTCGCCGGCGCTGCCGCGGTGTCGCGGCTCACTTAGTTCGTCGCTAGCCAGACCTCGCACGGCTTTCGGGGTGTCTCGGTGTCCGCGCGCCAACGGCACCGCTCGGACCGAGTTGTCGTGCGGACGCCCCGGCGCCCTCCCGTGCGCCAGGGCGTGTCGCGTGTGACAGCGACGCTGCCTCGGGGGGCCCGGCTCACCGCTGTTTTCCCTCTGCGCCCAAGCCCAGAGACGAAGGAGCGGCCGCCTTTCCTCAAGCCGATCGTCCTCCGCCATCTCTCCATGCCGGCCGGCAGCGAGTGGGAGTGCCCGCGCTGCTCGGGCAGCAACCTCTCCACCGTCTACATCTGCAGGCACTGCCAGGCGCCGCACCCGCCGCTAGACATGAGGAGCCGTTCCTCGGACGCCGAGATGGCGTTCGAGGCGGGCGACGGCGCCGCCGCTCCCCCTCGACCGCCAGCGACGTGGGAGTGCTCCACGTGCACGCTGGTGAACCAGGCGTCCGCGGTGCTGTGCGGCGCCTGCAACAGGCCCCGGCAAGCCAACAAGCTCAAGCCGACGGCGACAGAGGCCGTGCCGCCGGCGAGGCCGCCGACGCCGCCCGCCGCGCCGCCGGGGATGTGGCACTGCGAAGCCTGCACGATGTTCAACGAGGCCAAGGCCAAGGTGTGCGTGGCCTGCGACCGTTCCAAGGGGGCCCGCGCGCCCCGGGCCGCGGTCGATCGCCAACCGGGGGCCGACGTCGCCGTTGCGCGCCAGCGGCCGTCGGAGCCGCGCGGGCCGCGGCACGGCGACGCCGCGATGCTGATGGCGCAGGAGCAGCGGCGCAAGATCCTCCAGGAGGAGGAGAAGTCGAAGGGAATCGAGCTGATCCGGCTAATCAGGGTGAGGAGCGTGAACACGAGCGCCCGTGGCCGAGACGCCGCGGGCCGCGAGGGGGGTATCGCGCGTTCAGGCCCCGGCGTGACGGTGCGCTTGCCACCGATTCCATTCGATCTCGGTCGCTGCGAGTTTCTTGAATCCTCTCGCAGTTGTCGATTGGCTCCAGATCGCCCTCCGGTGGAGTCCCTTCTCTCCGGCAGTGGCGTGACCCACGATTCATTTTACCTGGGAACGGACATCTGTGAAAAAGAGCTTCGTAGCTCATGGGATTCCTCCAGGTTAAATACAGATTCTGAACGTGCCCCTGCGTGTGCTGATTGTGAGCCCCTGCTGCTGCTGCTGCTGCCTGTGGCGCCGCCCCCCAGAGCGGAGAGCACCAGGGCTTCTCGGCGAGCGAGGTGTACTGCAGCCTGCAGGCGTCGAGCCGCCCCAAAGCGCTCGAGTGGCTGCGCGGCGGCGGGTTGGACGAGTGCCTGGACACCATCGTGGCCATGGCCGAGAACCTGCCGCACGCCGGTTACGGGGGCAGCCTCTCCCGGCAGGAGGCCACGGACGCGTGGATCGCCGCCGACGGGAACATTGAGGCGGCGGCCGAGGAGTGCTTGCGAGCGCGCAGAGTGAAGGTTGGTGCGGTGGCCGCGTCGGGGTGGGCGAGGGGGGGTGAGGGGAGCGGGTGTCTTACCGGCACACGGCACTTCCCGGTGATTGCCAGATCGATTGCACTCGGGCTGCGGTCGTCTTGTGGCTGCCTACTCATCTACACCGCTGGAGAGTCATTAGAAACTTCTCCCATCGTTTCAGCTGCTATGCCTGGGCGACTGTGCTGACCGTTGCATAGCCACACACGCACAAGCGTTTCAACTCTCCGGATATTCGTGTGCCGGCTTACTGGATAGTCAAAGAACAATTTTCTGAGCCGAACGTGGCGCTGATCCTGCACGTCTCCCTGGAAAAGGGAGCACGGTTCGCGAAAAACCAACGCGGAACAGTTTAAACAAACGATCCTCCGCTGTGCGCAGATCGCCGAGATCCTCCGGCTGGGCCGCTACGAGGTGGCGGCCGTGGCTGAGAAGCTGAAGCTGAATAGCGGGGACGTGGACAAGGCCCTCGTCGCGCTCCAGGGGGAACTCCTGCGGCCGTCGGTGGACCGGTGCTGGCACGCGCCGGCCGAGGACGCCATTCTCAGCGACGGCGACGACCAGGTCGGCGGCGCTGGCACCGGCGTCCGTGGCCGGCTGCGGTCACGTGACCCCCCCCCCCCCCGCCCGCGATTCGACTTCGATTCTCACGGCCAAACCCCCCGCCGCCCCCCCCCCCCCCGTGTGTCGTGCGCTCGTGCTCCCAGAGAAAGCTGCGTTTCCTGCTGGCGCGCTACGAGCTGCAGAGCTGGGGCCGTGCCACGCTGGCGCTGAAGCTGTTGGCGGAGGAAAACGAACAGTACCAGCTGGAGGACGTCGTGCGGGCCGTGCGCGACTTCAACGACCTCGAGCGGGCGAGGCAGTACCTGAAGAGAGAGTGCCCCATCTGCTTTAGCATCTTCCCCATGCACGGCGTAAGCGGCGCCCCGCGTAACGAGGGGTCGGTCCTCCGTGGCGTCGGCGACGCCGATAACCCGAGCCGGTGGGCCCCGGCCGAGGAGGCCGCTCCGACGCCGGGCTCTGCGCTCGCGCCCGCGTGGCCCGGCCATAACGCGGGCGCCGTTCTGTCCCCACCCCGCGTCCCCCCGCAGATGGTGAACATCATCTTCTGCCAGTGCGCCGTGTGCGTGGCGTGCTTCAAGTCGAACTTCACCTTCAACATCAAGGAGAAGAACATTGCCAACCTGACGTGCCCCGTTTGCAACGCTTCACACCAACCCGACGAGGAGAGCCGCACCACTTTCTTCTCTCTCCTGGACGAGCAGGCACGCACTCGCACGCACGCACTCACGCACACTCGCACTCACGCACACTCGCACGCACGCACTCACACACACTCGCACACTCGCACGCACGCACACTCGCACTCACGCACACTCGCACGCACGCACTCACACACACTCGCACACTCGCACGCACGCACACTCGCACGCACGCACTCACGCACACTCGCACGCACGCACTCACGCACACTCGCACGCACGCACTCACGCACACTCGCACGCACGCACACTCGCATGCACGCACTCACGCACACTCGCACGCACGCACGCACGCACTCACGCACACTCGCACGCACGCACGCACTCGCTCATACGCACTCGCATACACACATGCAAAAACGCACACTCACGCACACACCCACGCAGTCAAACGGGAAAAGCTCACATGCACTAACTTGCGCGCACGCACACACATGCAGATACAACAACAACAACCGCCATTTGCCACTAAGTGGCGGTGACGTCACCACGACGCTTGTGCCAGGTTATGTGCACGTTGAGGCCACATGAAGTGTCGAACGCCCGCTGGCAGGAGGTCACGGGGCAGACCCAGATGCCACAGGTCGACTGACGACTGGCTGATGCACCATCTGTGCCCCCTACTGTGCCAACTTGCTGTGCTTTAGCCACCCGGCGATCCACTCGTTGTTGTGAGCGTCGCTCCTCCCCCCTCCGTTGTTTTTGGTGGGCAATTGCCTCCAACTGTCCAGTCGCGTCCTTCACAAGCCTCCTCCACAGAGGCCGATCTTGACACCGCTGGTACCAGTCATCGGCAAGTCCACTCAGATCCACAGCCTCCTCTACCACATCACTCCATCTCTTCTCTAGCCAGTACCGCGCCCGTTTAGCCCCTTCGATCTGGCCGAATAAAAGCTGTTTAGGCATGCGGTGACTGGGCATGCGAGCTACATAACCCAGCCAACGCAGCCTTGCCTGCCGGAGGATCTCACCGATGGGACATTGTCCAGATCTTTCAAGGATTTGTGAGCTCGTCACACAATCCAGCCTGGTTAAACCCAGGATGGATCGTAGGCAGACCAGCCTAAATGTTTTTAACCTGCGAAGATGTTCCATTAGGGTGGTCCACGTTTTGCAAGCGTAGAGAAGGGAGGGAATGAATGTGGCCGAGAAGACCTGAAGCTTCGTGTGGAGCGACAGACCAGGTAGCTTCCACACAGCATTATGCAACCGATGAAAATATAATGCCGCTCGACTGATTCGGAGTAAGATCTCTGCTGTTAAACCGGAACCGATCATGAGCACACGGCCCAGGTATGGGAAACTCTCCACTCTCTCCACAACTGCCCTATCACTAATTGGGAGTTGATGATACGGCAGTTGTACAAAATACCCAGGCAGGCGCTTAGTTTTTGTGGGGCTGATGGTAAGGCCCCACCTCTTAGTGGCAAGCTCCAGGTTTAGCAGCAGCACCTCCAACTCCTCTGAGTGAGCAGCAATTACCAGATCATTGGCATACATAACATGGTTGAGCAATAGGGAGCCATCCCTTGACTGCACCCAGGCATCGATCAGCCTCCCATTGTGTCTGCACAAGATGAAAATTGCTCCGGTACAGCTATTGAAGGCCTCACGAACTACATGGTCGAAATAAATGTTAAATATTGTGGGAGCCAGAGGACATCCCTGTCGCAGCCCAAGGTATACAGGGAATGGCTCCGAATACCGACCACGTAGTTTTACCCGGGCCCGCTCACCATCATGAAGGTCCTCAATGATCGTGAGCAGAGGGTCAGGGACTCTGAAAGCACGAAAAACAACCCAGAGCCCAGGCCTACTGATGGTATCATAGGCCTTGACCAGGTCAATAAAGCAGAGATGTAGGTCTTGTTGGAGTTCTCTACACCTCTGCTGTAGCAGACGGACAGAAAATATGGCATTTGTGCAGGACCGCCCTTTCCTGAAACCGCATTGGGGCTCCGCAAGTCTCTCCTCAGTGTGCCTAGCAAGGTGATGTTGAATAATCCTTGCCAGTACACTGAGGAGTAAGATGCCCCTGTAGTTGTTAGTCGGTGCGGTCCCCCTTCTTAAAGAGGGAGACCACCAGGCCATCCTTCTAATCCTGCGGAACCCGTCCAGTGGTCCAGACACTAATCCTTGCCACCACAGCGTTGCCGTCCGGCACCACGAGGAGGTAGGGGGTTTTTGCCGGACTATGCACACACACTAACTCACGCACACACACTCACGCACACACACGCACACACATACGCAGACACACACTCATTCACTCACGCACTAACTCACTCGTACACTAACTCACTTTCGCACTAACTCACTCACACACTCACGCATGCACTCACTCATGCACCCACTCACGCACGCACTCACGCAGACACACAATCGCACACGTACACACGCACTCAACAACAACAACAACCGCCATTCGCCACTAAGTGGCGGTGACGTCACCACGACGCTTGTGCCAGGCACTCGCTCACATGCTCACACACTCACTGACACACTCACGCAGACACATACACCCGCACTCACGCGCTCGCTCATATCACCTTCACGTCATAACTATGCCAAGTGATGGAATCTATCGTCTGTCTGGGCTCTGTCATGCACGCTGGCTTTGGAGCGTCTTCTCTTGACACTGTCGGTGGTGTCGTCTTTTGTTTGAAACAGTTCAGGAATTATCTGGACCCGGAAGTCTTCCGGCTGTTTGAAAACAAAATGAGAGACCGTGCTCTCTACATGATGCCCAACTTCCGCTGGTGTGCGCACGTACGTATACGCTGCCCACTCTTACACGCTGCCCTACGTACACGCTGCCCTGGCGTACACCCTACGTACGCGCTGCACGCTCTGCACGCGCTGCACACGCTGCATGCAGCCTCGCGCGCTGCCCCCACCCCCACCCAGGTCGGTAAAACCGCGTCACGCCACGCCGTGCCATGCCGCGCCACGACATGCCACGCTGTGCCGCACTACACCACGCCGCTCCACCGTCTGCGTGTGTGGGCAGTGTCCAAACGGAAGCATCCACGACGCGCTGCGACTGCGCATGGACTGCACCTACTGCAACAAGAGCACGTGCTCCAAGTGCAAGAAGCCGGTACGCGGGGCGGCCACGTGGAACGTCGGTTACACCGCGTGTGGGTTCCTAGCTTTGGGAGGAAGAGAACCCGGGGAGCACCCATGCAAAACCGGGGGGAGGGAGAGAACGCACAGACTCCACGCGAAGCCACCCGAGTCGGGAATCGAACCGAGGCCCTTCTTGCTGTAAGGCGCGAGCGTGACATCTTCCGCCCCACCACCTGGTCACTCCGGTGGCGTGCGAGTCGGTGATTTCCGTGGAAGGTCACCGCGTGTTTTGGGTAGTGGGTCGGTCTCGCCAGCTTTTGCCAAACAGGTGAGAGGTCGCAGACCAAGGGCGTTGGCACCTCTGTGGGGTGGGGGTGGCTTCGTTTGCTCCTTCTCCCCCCGTGGCTGCGGTAAACCGGCAACTCCTCATCGCTGGGCAGATGCCTGCCCCGTTCTCCATTCCCTCCTCGCCCCAGCTGCTCGTGTCCAGCAGCGGCCTCCGAACTCTGCTGCTGCTGCTGCCATCTCGCTGCTGCAGCTGCTGCTTCCGCTGTCGTCCTCTGCTTCTCTCTCCCTCCCCTCGGTCCCCGCTCCGGCGTTGGCCTCGTCTCTCATCGTGCGCACGGCTCGCGCTTAATAACGCAACCGTTCCTCGGCAGCAGTTGCCTTGAAGAGTTTCGTTGATTTAATTTTACTTCACCTGGAGGATCCCTCGACATGGGACGTCTCGTTGGCAAGCGGCTCCAGGGTGTCGATTGGCACGCACGCAACGACATCGCTCGGGCTATTCTCATCGTTTATTGCCATTACAAAGCGGACGGAAATTTTGTTTGTTACGCAGTAATTGTGAGTGCCCGTTGAACGCTGGGGAGCGGTGGCACAGCGGTGAGCGCCCCGCAATACAAACCCGGCGACCCAAATCAGATTATCGCTCACGACCAACAACGGTGGAGAATATTTGCGAACCGGTCCTCGGCCTCCCCTAGGTCGACTCCGCATCAACTAAGTATCTGTTGCAATGTGTAGGCACTGGGAAGACAAAGGCGGCCGAGAATGGTGCTGGCCACCCACTCCCCTCGTGTGCCGCACCGGTCTTCATAGGCGCTGCTCGCTAATAGGATTTGCCCCAACAGTCTGCTCAGGCTCGGCGTGGGATTTTTGTTGAATGCTGCCCGTGCTGCCCATTGACGCATTCCCCACCGGGTGGCGCTGTCTCCGTACTTTCTGAACTTGCTCGCAGCTCTCTGGGAGATGCCCCAATAGGAAATGTCATCGTGTTATGGCACCAGTCGGGCTGTTTGGAATATAGTTGTCAAAGTAGAAACAAATAACAATGATGTCCGCTCTCGAGTCAGCAAAGCCTCACCGAGACTCAGGATTCCATCGCTTGTTAAACACACGACGATCGCGTGTTCATTCCTCGCTGATCACGTGCTAAACATTTGGGAGACGTGTTGATCGCGTCACAGACGCGCGCGTGACACGCGTGTCGCTGGCGTGTGCGTGCCGCGCAGTGGGAGGTGCAGCACGAGGGCCTGACGTGCGAGGCGTTCCACACGTGGAAGCTGGACAACGACCCCGAGATGCAGGCGGCCGGCCTCGCTGCCTTCCTCAAGGAGAACGGCATCGGTGCGCCGGCATCACCGCCAACATCGCCATCACCACCAGCATCACCGCCATCAACATCACCGCCATCGCCGTCAGCGTCACCGCCAACATCCCCACCACCATCTAGAGCTCAAACTTAATCACTGACACAACCAAGACATACATCACCTTCATGGCCACCGCCATCTTGAGCTCAAACTTAATCACTGACACAACCAAGACATACATCCCCTTGACCGCCACCACCATCTCCTGGCCACCTCGGCCCTGCTTGACCTGACTGAGTGAGTAGCGCCGGTGTGCGTGGCGACGCGGCCCTCGTGACTCTGGCCCCGTGCCGCCCTGTGCCCCCAGCGTGCCCCAAGTGCAAGTTCCGCTACGCCCTGGCCAAGGGCGGCTGCATGCACTTCACGTGCGGGCAGTGCAAGCACGAGTTTTGCAGCGGCTGCTACAACCCCATGTGCAGGGGCAACGTACGTGAACGCCAGGCACACATGTACATACACACGTGCACACGTGCACACACGCACAAACACGTACATACACACATACATACATACACACACACATAAATACACACACACATGTGTACACATGCACACACGTGTATACACACCCACACACACATGTACACACCCGTACTTACACACGCTCAAACATACATCCACACACGTGTACATACACACACACACGCGTACCTACAAACAAAGATCCCCCGTATAGCCTTAAACCGACTGTTGGGGCAAGTGCTGTTCGCGAGCAGCACCTATGAAAACCGGCAAGGCACACGAGGGAGTGGGTGGCCAGCACCACGCCCGGCCGCCTTTTCTCCCCAGTGGCGATGTTTACACACTGCACCAGGTACTCATTTGAGTCGACCTTAGGGGAGGCCCAGGACCGGTTTAGATAACCTTCACCAGTGCGAGTGGCCGTGAGTGGGAATCGATTTCGAGTCGCCGTGTTCGTAGCGCAAGCGCTAACCGCTACACCACCACCCCATACACACACATACGCACACTCATATATACCCACACACACGTACATGCGATTACACAAAGACGAAGGTCCCCCATGTAGCCGTACATAGGCTGTTGGGGCAAGTGCCAATGACGAGCGCATGTGCGGGCCGCGGCAGCGGAGCGGTCGGTGCACCGCGATGTGAACCCTGAATCACTTTCACAGGCAGCACCTGTGACAATGATGCCTTAACTGGTCCCGGGCCTGCCACTCAGCCTTAATTGAGTGCCCGGTACATCCTGTAAACTTCACCACTGTGGAAACAAAGGTAGCCGGGCTTGGTGCCGGCCACACCACCCGTTCGCGTGCGAACCCGGCCTTCGCAGGTGCACGCTCGCTCACGGCACGTGCCCCACGAGTCCGCTACGGCCCTCACCGGGCGAGTTACCGTTGACCTTGCGTGACCCCCAGGAGTGCGGCATGGGCTGCACCCACATGGGACTGCACGCGCACCACCCGCGCGACTGCCTGCACTACCTGCGTGACTGGGACATCGCGCGGCTGCAGGCGCTGCTCACGGTGAGTGGTGGCGCAGCGGTGCGCGGGTTGGCCGTCTTTCATCGATGCTCGCGTGTGAGCGCGTACGCATACAAATAGGGGGAGCGGAAGTGTAGTGGTTGGCGCGTTGCGCTACGAACCCGGTGAGTTCGATTCCCGCTCACGGCCGACATCGGTGGCGAACGTCTGGACCGGTTGCGCCAAACTACGATCGCTCGACCGATCGGATGTTCTCACGCGTGCCGCCGGACGGGAAGTGACAGGCGACGCTCGGTGATGCCGTCGGCATCGTCGGCCGCGTCGCGCCGGCCGTGCGTGGCCCGTCGAGGTTTCCGTCTTTAGGAGGCGGGATGTCGGGGCGGTCGTCGTCTCCACGGGATGACGGCCGCAGCTCCCGTGTGCAGCGGCGAGCGCGTCGCACGAAACGTGTTTCTCGAGATGCGGGCTCGCTGCGAGCGGTGGCAATTTGTGACCGTGCGATGACCACGCTGTGTTCAGGACCACAACCTCGCTTTCAACGTGCAGCCCAGGCTCGGCACCGTCGCCAACACCGGTGAGTCCCGGTGCCGCCTGCGACTCCCGGGCCTTGTGTCACCTCCCTGTCGCTCTTCTCTCGCTGCTGCTACCGTGGTCACTCGGTGCTCTTGTGAACTTCGCTCCTCAATTCCTTCACCCGTGTTGAGGACTTGGTCTCGACCAGACCCTGAGTGTTGTATTTCGTCTCATCCATCGCCACCACTGTTCAACCACCGCCACACTGCAGGTCACAACAACACACTCACTCAACCAGTCACCCACTCACTCAGTCACTCACCTACTCATTCACCACACCCTTACCCACTGACCACTCACCAGATGTCACGACACTTCCCTTTTCTGCTTCTTCCCTCCACATTCGACTTCCTCCCCCATTGCCTCCAAAAAAGTATGACATCTTCAACAGTGCAGTTTGTTGCTGGCACCTAATGTATTAATGATGACGTTGATGACGATGCCATGCTGATGTCTGCACATTGGCAGGACACTGCAAGATGATGATGATGATGGAGTTGATGATGAAGCTGACGATTGTGCTGCTGCTGATGATGATGGTTGTGGTGGTGGTGATGCTGCTGATGGTGGTGGCGCTGATGATGATGGTGGAGCTGCCGATGATGATGCTTTGCCAACGCCTGCGTGCGACACTGTGCCAGGATACTGCGAGGTGTTGGAGCAGAAGGACATGGCTAACGGGTTGCGCGACGAGCCGTGCGGCAAGGCGGTCGCCGACCAGCAGGCCGGCCTCTGCGAGTGAGCCTTGTCCCGGCGAGCACCTCCTTCACCAGGCTGTACCGTAGGGTAGCGGTTACCGGGGGCGGGGGGACAGGGGGTACCAAAGTCTCCTGGGGGGTGGGGGGGCAGGCGGACGTTTGCGGAGAACGTCGGTGCGCGTCGCGTCTGCGGGACGCACGGACGCACGGACGCACGGACGCACGGACGCACGGACGAGCGCGTTCCGCCACGGACGCCGCACCGAGCGCGTGAGACGGCGCGGTGACGACCGCCAGCGGTCGCCGCGACCGGCGGCAACCGCTGCCGTGGGGAGACGGGAGTTGTGACCGTTCATCGGTCCACACGGGACAGAGCCCCACAGAGCGGAGTGAAGTAAAAATTTTAAAACGTTCATCTAACCACACCCGTGGTCTGCCACTGCTCTGTTGGCATGAGCTTTGCCGGGCAGCGTGTCCCTGCCAGTGAACGTCTCTCTCCCTCCCCTCCACCGTCTCCGATCCTCCCACAACCGCCACTGCCGGCATCGCCGCCTCCCCCTCCGCCACCCCCTCCACCATCGCCGCCATCGTCCCCCCCCTCCCCCCCCCCCCCCCGCTCAGGCTGCACTACAAGGAGTACCTGGTGAATCTCGTCAACGAGAACTCCGTGGACCCCGTGCACCGCTACGACATCAACGAACTCCGGGTGGAGATGCAGCGCAACGGCCTGGCCGAGCCGCCCCGCGCCGCCAACGAGGGCAACGCCAAATACCAGCAGCGGCTGCTGCAGGTCAGGACCGGGCGATGGAGTCCTGAACGCCGGCCACCGTCACCCCGTAGCGCCGGCCACCGTGATCCTGAGCTTTGACCCCTGTCGATCGAAACAACAGTCCTCATTATCCCACAACCAGCCCCAATAATCCCTAGCACAGCCCCTGTCACCCCAAATGGCTGCGTGTGTCCGGCGCCCCTAGCGCCACTCCCACTCAGTGTCGTTCCCTGGACGTCTTTGTCCCAAGCATCTTAGCCTCCTCCTGTCCCTCGACGCATTAATGTCCAGTCGTTAACACGCTGCTGAAGTTTCTCATTTCCTTTGTCTTCAGGAAATCCTGGCCAATATCCCCCTGGTGAAGAGGGACTGAGGAGGACAAGGAGGTGGTGGAGGTGGAGGGAGGGGTGGGGGGGGGAGTCGGTGAGGAGTGTGCCGGCGAGGCGCTGCCTGCGCCCTCCGTTGGGGGTGTGGAGCCCCCCGGGTTATATTCTCACTGCCAGGGTCGTGGCGGTCTCTCTCGGGGGGTGTTTCACATCCACGCGTTCTCTTTGCTTTCTTCGGCACGTTCAGCGGAGACACCTGGCAGTGGGACGAGTGTCACGGTTGGATCTGCGCCGGTACCTCTGGCCGCCGAACACGACACGGTGCGGCACCGGCATAGCTCTCGGTAGACGCTTGCTCTGCGGTTGCCCTTTGCCAGCTGACTAACAGGTTAACCGGTTCACAGGTTAACAGGTTCACAGTCGGATTAGCAGGGTAATAGTTTGCCGCTACGATGTATTGTTGGGATTGCACCGCGTTTTGTTTGGCACGGTGTCCCACGTTTCACTCCCAGCGCATCAACGTCCAAACTGAACGCGGCGGGTGAACGGAGATCTCTGACGCAGCACTTGCAGCTCACAGCACCTTTGTCTTCGCGAAGGCGCTTATGCACGCACGGTGCAATATTTGCGCTCTCCGATCACTGACCGGGTTTCCCGTGACGGCACCGACCGGGGCAACACCCTGCACCCCGCGTAGTGAACCAGGTGTAGCTCGGTCACCTCCACGCACGCCGGACGCTACGGTTGTCGCCACGGCGCCGCGGCCGGCGGCCACTCATTGCCGCAGCCCCGTGGCGGCCAGGCAATAACCGGGCTGGGGAGCGAGCGACGTTTACTCTGCCCTGCTGTCCTCTGCTCGGTGTAATTTATGCAGCATGACAACATAAACATCACGGTCTGATAAATAAAACGAGCCCCTGGCGGGGCCTGGTTGCTCTCTGTTGAATGTTAATGGATAGGGCGGTTCTTTAGCTGTGCTCTTCAGTGAACCAAAGGATGTGGTGGTGGTGGCGGTGTTTGTCGGCTAACCCATAATACCTGGGGCCTGTCCCGTGACGTCCTGCCAGCAGCGAGTCTTGGGCTTCAAAGTGCACCTAGCCTGGCACATGAGACCTGCGGTGATGCCACCATCACTTAATGTTGTGTTTGTGGTAGCGATGATGATTATACGGCTGTTCCCGGACTTGAGATCAGGAGTGAACGCATTGGCCAAACGTCCAAGCAGGACCCTCCGGAAAAGGCTCGGTAAGGCTTTCCTTGGCAAACTCCTCCATGGATGCATTCTGGCCAAAATCTACACCAAAGACGAAGATAAATCTCCGCTATATAGTCTACACGGACTGTTGGGACGAGTGCTATTAGTGAGCACCTAGGAAGGTCGGCACAGCGCAGGAGCGAGTGGGATGTGGCCAGCTCCACGCCCGGCCGCCTTTGTCTCCCCGGAGCTGATGTTCACACCACCGGATACTCATTTAAGCCCGAGTCAACCTCGTGAGGTCCAGGACCGGTTCAGATATTTGTCAACGATGGTGGCCGGAAATCGAACTCGGGTCGCCGGGGTCGTAGCACAGTGCTCCACTACTCACCACCACCACCACCACCACGCGCCCTGTTACTGAAAATGTTGGTGATAATGAAGGACATCTTGTGTTCTAACGAGCATTGGGTGATCCGCTGTTCTATCACTTGAGCCAGTGGTGTTATATTCCACGTCTTTATGGCAGGGAGAAGTCCGCTCAAATAAAATTGGGGGTGACGTAAACATGTCCGTCACGCGTTGCTTTGTGCCTGGGATTTGGAATCACGTGGCGGCTGAGAGCACAGTGGTCCGTGTGTGACGTGTCGTGAGTGGGGAGCTGAGATTCATCGATTACACTGGTCTACAGCCAAAATGCTTCCGAAATGTAGGCCAACTTTACTAATTAACTGAGAATTAAAACGATGCTTAAAATGTTTGATTGGTTAACATTATGAGACCTCCTTTGCCAGAAACAAGATATAGGAATAGGTTTTACCCTTTTAACTGGCACAAAAACTGACACCTTTATTCAAGGCATCATGTTTGCAATGACCACAACACAAGCAGTCAAAATGCAAACAAAAAAGACAACTCTGATCATAAGGAAAGTGCATATTATTATCAGAGTTGTCTTTTTTGTTTGCATTTTGACTGCTTGTGTTGTGGTCATTGCAAACATGATGCCTTGAATAAAGGTGTCAGTTTTTGTGCCAGTTAAAAGGGTAAAACCTATTCCTATGTTTGATTGGCTCTAAGGTATGCTACTGGGTCGGTATATACGACCCTTTACTTGGGAATGGCGGAGGATAAGTGAGTTCTAAGGGAAGGGATCTCAATGAAACCAGAAATGACAAATATATATTTGACTGGATCTATAAATAAATATATGACTGGGTTTGGACAGTACTTGCTTTTTGAGCAAAACAATGAATGATGGAATCTGAACCTGGTATTGCATCATCCATGATATTGCATCATGTTATTCCTATAAGTCATGGATGATGCAATCGTAACAAGGCTTACATCCCTCTGCTGAACAAATTGCCCTATAGCAGCTCTAGAAATCATACAGTGTCGTGCTCTCTTATTTGTCAGTGTTTGATTTTGCAAAGGAACACATTTTTGTTTAGCCAAAGTGACCAGAGATGCCTCGTACTTGTGTGAACAAAGCAGATAACTTCTGCTATATGCTTTGGTTCTTTCGGTAAAGTCAAGTAGGTAGAAAAATAATGGATCACGACGTTTCGATCGCAACACAAGCAATCGTCATCAGGTGGGACAACCACAGCAAGAAAAAACTGCTTGCTGTGGTTGTCCCACCTGATGACGATTGTTTGTGTTGAGATCGAAACGTCGTGATCCATTATTTTTCTACCTACATGACTTTACCGAAAGAACCAAAGAGTATGGATTCCTGCAGTCACGAAAGCTTCAAATCAATTTCTGCTATGTTTGTGGTGAAGTGACTTTTGCATAAAAAGTGCAGTATAGCCACAATGGTTAAGAAAGCCTATCACCTTTATTTTGGCTGAAAAATTGGAGATTAGGACAGAATGTGGGCCCCACAAATATGCTGCAACACTTGCTCAACAAATATTCGCCAGTGGTTGACAAGGAAAAGGAAATCGATGCCTTTTGCAGTGCCAATTATTTGGAGAGAGCCAACATATCATATCAGCAATTGTTACTTCTGCATGGCGCCTCCAGTTGGAAAAGGTGTGTCAAAGAAGAAAAAGTGGACTGTGCATTATTCAAACATTCCATCAGATATACACCCCGAACCCCACGCAGAAGAACTGCCGGTTCCTGATGCGCCAGAATTATTCTCACTTGAGTCAGACGAGGAAGAGGATTAAACTTCTGGTCCTGAACCATCAAGGTCACATGACCCAGATTGTATCCCATCCTCTTAACCACACCTCATAACACAAGGTGAACTGCAAGACCTTGTCAGGGATTTGGAACTACCCAAGAATAATGCAGAGCTGTTGGGCTCCCGACTGCAGCATTGGAATCTCCTGGCAGGTGATGTTAGGGTTTCCATGTTCCGTGACCATCAAAAGTATCTTGTCCCATTCTTCTTCATGGAAGTGGTCTTGTAACCTGCAGCAACATCGATGGTGTGATGGCAGCCCTCAACATCGTTCATGATCCAGATGAGTGGAGACTGTCCATTGATTCATAGAAGATGAGTCTTAAAGCTGTTTTGCTGCATAATGGCAATGTTTTGCCATCAATTCCAGTTGGTCATGCAGTCCATATGAAGGAAACCTGACAACATGAAACATTTTGAGGTGCATAAACTATGACCAACATCAGTGGCAGCTTTGTGGCGATTTGAAGGTTGTTGCTCTCTTGCTTGGTCTGCAGACCTGATACACAAAGTGCTGCTGCTGTTTTCTCTGCGAATGGGATAGTCGTGCGAGAGATTTCCACTACATCAAGACAGATTGGCCACTCCGACAGCCGTTGAATCAAGGAAGATTTTGTTACCACCCTTACGCATCAAGCTGGGTCTGATGAAGAACTTTTTCAAAGCCAATGGACAAAACAAGCAGCTTTCAAGTACCTCCGTGGAAAATTTCGAAGGTTAGGATAAGCTAAGATAAAGGAAAGTGTCTTTGTTGGTCCTCAGATTCGTGAACTTCTCCAAGGTGATGCATTTGACAGTGCTCTGCGTGGCAAGGAAAAGATGGCATGGAACGCCTTCCAGTTAGTGGCAACAAATTTTCTCGGAAACAACACGGGCAGACGACTAACAGGGAGTAGGTGGAAATCCTCAAGGCATACAAAAACCTTGGTCGCAACGTGCCACTAAAGATTAATTTTTGCACTCTCATATCGATTTTTTTCCCCACCGAACTGCGGAGCAGCGAGCCACGAGCATGGGGAGCCATGTCACCAGGACATTGCAACAACGGAGAAACGCTATGAGGGCAAATGGAGCCCATCAATGCTCGCAGACTCTTGCTGGACAGTGACGAGAGACGGCTCCATTTAATGAATACAAGAGACAAGCCAAGAAGCGCCGAGTAGACACTGAATGAGGACAGAATTATGTACTGTAGTTATATATACACACATAATAGTCTTGTTTCGTAATAATTGTTATGTATACAACTTTTTTGCTGACTTTTAAAGTGTTACATGAACAGGACAGGTGAAATATTATCATGTAAAGCACCCATAAACACCTGAAAAGACCTAGGTTTACAATGTATTAGTAAAACTCTATCTACACAATATACATAGACGTAAAATATATAAACTTAAATATCTTGGGAACAGTAGCCAATCGGTTGTTTTCATTTTCATATTTCAATTCAGCACATCAAAATCCATAATAAACAGCACATTACATCTCTGAAGCAGACGACGTCTCAACAAATTGTCGACCACTGTTATTGTTACTGGGGAGGAGTGGTGAAGTGGTGAGCCGCTGCGCTCGGAACCAGCCGCCTGAGATCAATTCCAGGTCCTCGCCACCATTGTTGCTGACGGATATCTGAACCGGACCTCCACCAGTTACCTGGTGCGGTGTGTAAACAGTTACCTGG